TTAAGGAACCCGGTATTAAAAATCCATCTGTTAGCGAAACTATCTCAGACAGAGATGGCTGTATTAGTCATTCTCAGCCGAGGAGATTGAATCGATGGGCATGACACTTCAAAGCTCAATTCAACTGGACTTCAGCCACACTTCGGTTACCCACGATCTCCAGTCATCCTGAATGGCCAATCGATTTAAGTCATCTGAATCTTTATGAAGTTGAAAAAGCCATAGGAAATCTGAAGCGAGGGAGAGCTGCGTGTCCTGATAGACTGACTCTATGATTTTTAGGGACGGTGGTCCAGTTTTAACAGCTAGATTGACTGAGATCTTATTTAGAATCTGGGAACTGGGCGTAATACCATCTGACTGGTCTCAATCGCTGGTTGTCCCGATTTATAAGAAATGACACAAGTCCTCTTGTGACAGTCACAGGGACACCAGTCTAACTAATATAGTATTTAAAATATTGTCTAACTGGAGCTCATGAGGAGCAGACCAGGGGAAACCATGCTGGTTTTTGATCTGGACGTGGCTGTATAGGCCAGATATTCACACTATGTCAGGTCCTGGAACACAGAAACGCTTTCGGCATCCGACAATAGTTGTCTTCCTAGACCTTAAGGCGGTATTCGACTCTGTGCATCATCAGGTTCTATGGCAGTGTTGGTCATTGAAGGGTGTAGCAGAGAAGTACACTAACCTTGTACAAGCTCTCTACCCAAACACTACAGTTGCGTCGGCACCTGAACTAGTGGTAGGGAATGAAGCAGTTGGGCGTGTTGACCGCTTCACTAATCTCGGGAGTCTCATCAGTGCTGATGGCCTGGTGACTGACGAAGTCTCAGCACGGATACAGATGACTCGACGGGCTTTTGCCGACTTGCGTCATTTGTGGCGTTGGCGTGATATCCTTTCGGTAACCAAAAGAAGAGTCTATTGCGCAGCAGTTCTCTCCGTCCTACTTTATGGCTGTGAACTATGGCCAGTAAGAGTAGAAGATATTCATAGGTTACTGGTTTTCGATCATATGTGTCTCCGAAGCATTGCTCGTGAATCCTGGGACAACTGAGTGAGCAATGCTGTCATTAGGAAACGAGTAAGAATGGCAGATCAATAGATGGAGTATTGAATCTTCATCAGTTGAGGTGGTTGGGACATGCATTGCGTATGTCTAACCACCGACAGCCTCGTCGAGCTATATTTTACGGTGTAGGAATAGGTCGGAAGAAAGCTAGGGGCGCCCGGACCAAAAAAACAGAAATGCTTGAAGGCACTGACAAGTGGACTGAGCCCTGTCGGTATGTGTCGACTACCTGGTTGGGGTCGCGAGATGTTAGTAATCGATCGTTAGAGACTCTAAATGACATGGTTCAAAACCGTTTGATATGGCGCAGGTGGATTCATTCTTTGCGTTTTCTCAAACCCTAAACTTTTTATTTCCTCATCACTTTGTCTTTGTCTTTTTTGAAGTCTTTTTCACTAGTTTCTACTTCTTGAATAATATCTTCTAATTCTAACCTCTCCGACTGCTGCTAATACCTTTACTACCTCTACTACTATTGGATTTGAATCGACAATTACGTCTCTATGCTAACGTAGCATGGCAACGTGAACTGATGTACGTACGTACGAAGTTCTACGTTGCTATTGATTGATTGGTTGATTATCCATGAAGTCACGGACGAATGAACTGAGCCATGTTAATAGGTTTACACTACCTGGTCGGGGTCCGCGAGGCGTTAGTTACTAATGGTTAGAGACTTTAAACGACATGTCTGGAAATCGTTTGCAATGGCGCAGATGCATCCATTCTTTGTGTTCTCTCAAATTCTAATCTTTTGAAATCCCCTTCACCTCTGTCTTTCTCTTTCTAAATTGATTTCACTGAATTATACTTCTTGAATAATATCTTTGAACCCTAATTTTCTCCATAACCGCTAATATATCTACTATATCTATCACTATGGAATTTGAATTGACAATTACATTTGTCTGCGCTAATGTGGTATGGAATCTCGAAGTGATGTACATATAAATATTTGGGTAACTTCGTTGTATTACTGCTAGAAATAAGTCCACGCTTCTTCTGCATTCCCCTCTGGGGTCACTTTTCCAGTTCTCAGTCGATGATGCAGAATTGATCGCTATCATATCTGCCTTCCATTTGTTCGGACTGGACGGCGTATGTACATGACAGACCATGTCGGCAATGATTTTGAACAAGATGACCTCATGATTATTCATCCCTAAAGGTGGAAGGACTTAATATGAATGCCATCACTGTGCATGAAGACAGTCCAAAACAGACGAGCTTCGAAGGTCAAATCTGATGGGATCTTTAATGTGCTGGAATAAAGTCAGCGCCATTGTTATTTCTAACAGTTCGCAACCAGACGATGTGTTTCGTGACCCTACTTTTTATTTACCCCAGTTCGTAAAGGGTACACTAAAGTCAACTACTCAAAGGCTTTTACACTCGTTCGACTAGGACTTAAGTTTGCTTAGGAGGAGATCGTTTAGTGCGCATTCTGGATTGCGATATACTACAACTAATTAAATGTATTGCCTTTACACTTCAGTCGACATCGCACCAATTCACATATCCAATGTGAGTTGTATGTCATTCTCTTGACAGCTTGTATGGTTGTGTTTTTATGTACATAGTGATCCCACGACCCCTTCGATTTAGCTTGTCGGCCTTGCAAATTACGGAACCAAGTATTTAAACTTCACTATCGTACACGTATGACGTTAACCATTTTTCGAAATAGCAGTGATATCAAGGTTTTATTTAACTGCCATGTTTTCGAGGCCCGCCATTTTGTTTATTAGACAGAGCATTTGTATAGTTTCAGCAGCTCACAACTCCAGTTTCACTAATGATCGAGTATGTGATGAAATAAATCTTCCTTTCCATTTCCGTATAATATACTTAGGCTAAACCTGTTTGTGAGACGGTGGCAATAAGAAGACAAATACGGTTTCGTGGATGAGTTTATTTCATGTACTCATTTATGTAGACATATGAGAATGCAAAGCGTACAAGCAAAGCGATGTGAATTGGAGAAGGCGAGTGATTTAAATGTCCATGAGCTGAAGAACGACTAAGTATTTATAGTCAAGCAATAATAGGCTAGACAATGTAATATACAATAATCGATACTGTAATCGAATTATTACAAATACAGAAATATTATCGATACATTTATCGAATAATTTAAACGACAAATCATTGGAGTACAATGAATAAATTGTGAGATGCTACAATTATAATCAGTTGGCTATTAATTTCTTTGAGTTTGCCATGTAATCAAACTCACCGGAGTGTAAGGTATTCTTACTCCAATATGAGGTCAAACGACTTTTCTATTGTGACTTCTAAAAGGTTTCTGTTCTGTTTGGTATTGACATGCTTGTTGATGTTGAGTTGGTTGCTTAACAGTGATTCAGAAAACTCGGTTGTCCTTTAGCAAATTGCGTTACCTGTGTCATAAGTGGTATGTTTGTATGGCAATTAATGGATGAATATACCGTACAGTAGTCCGTTTTTTATTATCTTATGGGTACGAAATGTGGTCATTGAAAGTAGAAAGCCTGTGATCTTAGGTGTTTTTCAAGCATTGCTTACATTTCATGGGATGACCGGATCAGCAATGTTGTATTTAGACATTGGTTCCTAGGCGAAGATGATTTAAGTTATGAATCTTTACGAACTAAGGGGGTTAAAAAACGCGTCTCCTATATCTAGCCACCATCTGTTTTAACGAATTATATTCGCTGGTGTTGAAGTAGGTAGGGAAAAACCGAAGGGTGACGAAACCAAGACATTTCATCAGATGGGGCAGTTATTGACTGTTCTGAGCCATACTATTAGATGCAGACGACTTGATTGGCGTCTGTGCGGTAACCTCAGTCGGTGGTTGACGATGTTGTGTGGTTCGGTTCAGAATCGTTTTGGATGGTCTAGGTTCATCGGCTTTTTGTTTCCTATCTTTCTTGAACTCCAGTATCCCTTCGCATACTTCTTCCCACTGACTTTTAATATCATATTTTCAAAGCTATTTTGTTATCATTGGTAATATGGTAGTTCTTTTTCTTTATTTTTCATCTTGTTAATTGCATCGTATGTTGTTAATATAGCATGCCAACTCCGGTCAATGAACATTTGTGCCAGGCTCTGCGTTATGCTTGCTGAATGTAGTATATGGTACTTGTTAAGAAGGATAAAATTCTCCATGCTACATGTTTCCTGCTAGTATGTTTAGCGTCTTTGCAAAAGACTCATGTAACCTATGTCTAAGCTTTTGTATACAACTATTAAGTCTTCAGTCAGTAAAAAATTTATGGCAGATTTAGTAATAAAGTATAACCTGAAATATGATCTGCATTGTTAGCAATTCAACTGACAAGTTTCATAAGTCGTTTATTATTTTGGTCTTTTCATAGCTGTAATCTTCTTACTCCAGTTTGTCAATAAGAAATTATAAATCTTTGAAAACCATAACTTGAATTTAATTTGGTAATTAACCTTAGTATAATATTATACATTTACTTCGATATAGGATTTACATTTTAGTAGCAAGCGTAAACTTTTTGTTTCGTTTTTCTTAACAACATGAATATCAGTAATATTTTTCAAAGTTGGTTGAAATGCTTTTTCATTGAGTGTTTTATTTTTGACAAACTTAGTTTCATTGTTGCCCATATGCTTGTGCTCTTCATGAAATTAAATTTCATTTCAATAAAGTTATATCTATATAGTTTGTGTTTGTGTTCCTCACACACTTCTACAGTGAATTTAATTAATTTGGTTTTTACTGCTTCATTTACCAGTTTCCTATTTCTACCTCATTGGCTGCATCTAAATCTCCTATAATAGGAAATTCCTATTTTCATTTAATTTTTAACCACTCAGAAAATTTTATTTAACCAATAAAACGCATGTCTGTCTCACTTTTTCATCATTCTTGGGAAATACACTATCCATATATGACAAGTAAAAATGTATACACACACACTGATATTAGTTAGAGGAAATCCTATTTTCATTATTCCAGTAGAGCAAAGGTTAGTAGCATTTATTCTCTTAAACAATCATTTCGTAGTGTTTTTTCGCTTAATACGTGAAGAATAATTATGTCAAAGTCAACAAGTAATAAATATAACATTAAAGAAAGTGGATCAGATAATGCTAATCCTTCACAGTCAGATCAGCTTGTTTTCACTTCTAGTCAAGTCACTTTAAAAGCATTTGGTAGCAATAATTCTGGTGAGGTATCAACTGATGACCTGCCTAAACTTTGTGCACCTGGCTCTCGTTTAATACCGGCTGAAAGTTTGACTAACAGTGATAGTACTTCAAGCTATAAAAGTCGGGAGAAGCGTCGTTCTAGTGTTCTAATTGACAAACGAGCCTATCATCAAAATCAGCATCCCTCTTTATCCTCGATTTCATCTGGTCAAGATGACTGTGAGTATTTATTTTCATATTGCTCCTTTATTATTCTGTCATTTCAAGATGTTTGCACAACTGGATGTTAACGTTCATAAAAGAGCTAATTAAAAGGTTGTTTTTAATGATGTAGTCTCCTTTTTTTCTGGTGAACTGACTAAAAATTCTATTCCAGTCAATAATGATGATGCTTTCATCGATTTGTAACAGTTGGAACTAAATTTTAAGTTGTTTGCAAAGTGTACCAAAGTGTTGAGATACAAACTTGACGTCAGTTCGAAAATTAGCGACAGTTATTGATTCATTATATTTTTTCACCCTATTTTCATTACGGATAAACCGTTTGGACTTAATTTAGCAACGGATAAAGTTTTATCTATTCATTGATTACTTGGTTGGTATTTTCTTGGCGCTTGTCAGCTTATTTATTTTGATTAAAAGAGTGCTTATTTTGTTTGAGCTGAATTCGATTTAGTTGACTGATAATATCTAGTTCATGCTGCTTGAGTAGTCAAGTCATGAGCAAGTTAAGTTCAGTTTGTAAGTGAATTTGGATAAGTGTGTAATAAATTAGTTTTCTCCATTGATTCCTTGTTGCTTTTTATGTCGTGTGTTTATTTTATTCTTGACTAGTTTCAGCGAGTTAGATTAGTAGCTTCAAATGTTTTGTTAAACTCTATTGATAATCTTAAAATTTTGGACAATGCATATGACTATTTAAAAATGTCGAGTTTGAACTTGTCGTTGTAAGCAAATGTAATCATTTAGGTAAGATGTGTTTATAAATCTACATCGACTAGATCATTTTCTGGTTATATGTCAAACTTTTGATCAATAAAATCGTTTGTTTCTATTTTCTGATTGACGTTATATTTCACAGTTGTTCCGAATCTGTATTAGAGTCAGTATTAAAACAAAAGTTACATTTAAAGTTAATTAATTTATTGATTTCATATCAGTTGATTCTCAATAAAATCCCTTTTTGATCGCTAATTTATATTAACTCCTGTTTTCATCATTGTGTTGACTTAACAATCTGTTCATGCTATAAGGTAAAAATCCTTGCATATTCAAATTTTTCCACAAAATCTGAAAATCAGGTGTTATTAGTTTTCTTGCTTAACATTATTCTTATTAATACGACTGTGAAATTTTACTCCAGTCCCATTTAGGACGAACCACAATATACATGCCTTTTGTTCTTGTGCATCACAATGACGAGAAAAATCAATCACATTTTACAGTTTTGTCAAAAATAGTACCATAGAGTTATTCATTGAACTAAAATGAAATTGCAGCCTGTTCTTGAAATTCTACCACGCTTACCTTAATTGATCTTCTGGTTTTGACAATAGGACTGCTAGTCATAGGATCTAACTAAATGTTTATACTTTAAACTGGATTATATTTATCCAAATATTTTATACTAATAGACAACATTGTAGAACCTAGAATAAACAATATGCATGTTTACCTTACTACATTTCAAAGCAATACATAGGAAATAAGTGATATGAGTAGACAGGCAGATTTTGTGGAAAAAATAGAGAAGAAATTAACTGTAATTAAGATACTAGATATACGTTGATTACGAAGTAAATACAACTACACCACGATGATCAATTTTCAATCTTGGCACATCACTTTTGTTTTAATTATATTATAGATTGGTACTTAGTACTATATTAGACAGTTATAATTCTAGTTTCACTGGATCGTAAATAATTATATCATATTACTAATTCAATAAAAGTTCGCGCCAAGTTGTTATATGTATTGTGATTTTTTCTATTATTGTCACTTTCGTGTTTCAAAATTCAATTTATAAACACTATTAGCTATGTGATATTGTTTATTTTTGTATTTCGGCATTGAAACTGTCAAGTGTTTCTCAGTGAGTGTCTCGTTATGGCCTGAATTTGTATTGAGGAATGTATTGAAACAACTTAAGATAGTTAATTTGTTTATGAAAAATACCAAACTCGTTATATGTTTTTTATTGCTATTGAAATTTGTATCGTAATCGTAAACACTCACTGTCCCACAATATGCATGACGTAATATTTTCCATTTCTCGTAGTTTTACTAGGTCTAAACATTTTTGTACCGTATATATATATATATATATATATATATATATATATATATATATATATACATATAGGTTTAAAAAAATCTTCGGAAATCGCAGACAGGTTTACTTTCTGGCGTTGTACTGAATAATCGAATTCAGCTTGTATTTCATTGAATGAGTTATCCAATCAATAATAATCGGTTAGTTTATAATGAATAGATTTGTAGGTGTTCTATAGTTAGCCAATCTAGTGCATAAAATATTACAGGTTAGTGCTCTTCAATGGAACTGATATTAAAGCATGATTGTATCAACTTGTATGCTCATAATGAAGCAGAGTTTTAAACTAATATTTTAAATACTAGTTTAAAGTATGTTCGAGATCAGTATTTTTTCCCGATTCCTACTATTTATACTTAGAAAACAATATATTTATAAAATTTACTTTTAAGTTTAATCGTATGGCAGAATCAATGTTGTCTGATTGGAAAAAACCAGCACACATATATAAAGTTACATAAATACTCATCTATCGTTCGTGATTAAAAAGCCATTTTTTTAATAGATCGATATACATTACCCTTGAAAAGTTCATCATTGTAGATGCTTTTTGGCTTCTCAGTGCTAAATTATCGATCTGAAAGTTAATACTTAAGTATAAGAATCGCATATCGTTGTTCGTTTTTTTGTGTGTAAATTTGGAGGTTGTTTTGTCTTAGTGTGAAATGTATTTAACCATTTGTTTCAAAATAAAAATAAAAATTAGACAATATAGATCAATATATTTCATTGAAATCATGAATCGATCAATGTTAGACCACCATTAGAAACCTGGAAGCACTGGACGACCTTTTCGTCCTGATATTGGACTCATCAGCAGTGTACATCCACGTCCAGAGGTTAGGCGTTCGCGCGCAAGACCGAAGTTTGTGGTTTCGAATCCTGCGAGGTGCAAGTGTCGTGGGTGAGCACTGCTGATGAGTCCCATACCAGGACGAAACGGCTGTCCAGTGCTTCCAGGCTCCTAATGGTGATCTAACGTTGGTCGACTCATGATTTCAATGAGTAACTTAACAATCTTCACAACCCCGTAATGCAATATATTTCAGTTGATAAGTGAATTGTTAGCGCTGATGAAAAACTTATATCATTCTTCAATTCTTAGTGCTCAGTTAACTTTCATTAAATGCATTTTAGAACAGAGTTATTGAGATAAGTGATTTAAGGTAGTGAGATGCACCCACTGTATCCCAGTATTAAATGTCAGAGAGTAGTCGTTTGATACAACATTAAGCGCAATATAGTGGTAAGTGCTTGTTCTACAGTTTTCGATGCTTAGAAAGTTATAATTGGATTGTTATAAAGCTTTTCATTTCTACGACTGGTGATCAGGTAAACAAAGTGCTGATTTATCTAGAAGGCATGTTAAGTAAACTAGTCTCGCTCTATGCAATCACCTTGAAAATTATTGTACAGTATATCACCCAGCAGTTCAGTTTCAATTAGATTTTCTTATGTTTTCTTTTGTCTTACATTATCTAAATTAAGTTAACTTGTTCTATAATCGTAGCTGAAGTTAAGAGTATGGTTTGACTATGTCTTAGGCATAAAATTAATTTTTAAGAAATTTATATTGGCAATGAAACTAACTAGTCAGGACTTTTTACAGGTTTGACTCATTTAAACTTTATTGAATTTTACTAGACAACATCATCAGAGTGAAACTTTAAAGCCAACTGTCTGTTGAGAACTTCAGCACTTATATTATAGCATTCCATGTAATTTATTCTATTTGGGTAAAATAAATTTTGAAAGAGATTGAGTTGGTCAACTCTGTTATATTATGTTGATAATTTCTAGTAGTGAAATTGCTTTCAGCTGCTTTGATCACTACCGATGGGTCAGTCACACTTCTCTACTTTGATTTTATCAAGATTTACTGATGGATTTTGTATTTTGTACTTTTAATTGTGTTGTAGGCTGTTTGATTTATTAAAGACGCTATTCATCATAATTTTTCTTTTTATCATTTAGCATCATATACTGGATCTAGTTCAGATGATGAAGAAGAAAGTCAACAGCATGAAAGTCCAAAGGAGCGTTATTTGAAACCTGGACTTAGAGCTGTAAGTGTAGTAAATAATATAAAATAATATGATAATTATTCAGAAATTCAATGGTTGTGTGATTATTGACAGAAAGTCAAACTTATATATTTATGTTGAATTATCATCTGATTGTATGTTCTACTTAATAGAAGCAACTGTTGTTTGCAAGTAATGTTTACCTAAAGATTAGACTAAAGCATGTTCCATACATGATTGCGTTCTTGCACACTGATTGGCTTTTTCGTATCCAATCAGAGCTAGGCGATACTGGGGAAACATTCTAGAATCTTCCCATGTAAAATCTATAAATATACTGACTTTTTTTCCTATTGAACTTCTTACTTCTATCTAAATTTTTTTATTGGGATATAATATCTTTCTTGTTCAACCGTGTTCTGATTTGGGAGAACGTTTCGAGTGAATTGGTGTCCGGTAAATACTAAACATTCGGAATAGCTGGGTTGTAATACGAGAGAATTGTAACAAAAGTATACGATTGTTCATTTTATATTTCATTTCATATTTTAAAGTTGAGCGAAAAAAATGAATCTAAAAATGAACTGTCATGTTTTTTTTTTTTAATGTCAATTATTCAACATAAAAGTGTTTGTGCATCATAAACAGAGATGCAATTAGTTTATCTAGTATTGAAGATTAATGATTTTTCACACAGTTGTGGTGTGATTTCACGATAAAAATTCATTGAAAAGAATTATTATAAAAAAGATTTGTAAAGTAATCAACGTATACAAAACTACAAATTATAATAAATATTGTCTGTAGTATACGTATGTAGCATTCTTGTGATATAAAGTTAAAGTAAAGATTAATAAGTCAAGTTGTAGAAGTAGTAGTTACATATCAATAAACAATACGCTGAAGTTAAATTCTCTACTTTTTATTCAATGCTTATCAGATAGTACAGGGTCATGTGAAAGCAAATCAATTTGTAAAAAAAAATTGGAAATTATATTCAAGCAAATTATGGTGAAGTTAAACGATGAGATTAAGCCATTGGGAAATATACAGGTGGTTTCTAAGTTACAGTGCATATATCAAAACAGAATGATGTCTGCTGAATGTAAATGATCGGTTTTCAGGATTTAAAGCATTATTAGATACTTAAGTTAAAAGTTTGAAACATAAAACTAGTATTATTCTTTAGAATTAGGATTTAAAGTGTTAGAAGGTGGCTCCATATTTTACGGATGAACTAATCAGATTTAATGTAGCACCTGTTTGAAATTTTGTAAGAAATTCGTCTGTATTGCCATAAAGCATTCTGGTGTCATAGCTGATGTCCGTTCGTGATAAATGCTCAAATCCTAGCTCTGCATTATAAATTCTAGATCAGTCATTCATATTTGCTACTTTTGTGATTGTCTGTGTGTTTAACTAATACCAGAAATAAGCAAGTAAAATCACTGGAGAAATCGCATAAAACAGTATGTTAATCAAACTTTAAAGTCTTGGATTTCTTACTTACATCAACGCAAAACCGTACACTCAATTCAAACTAAGTGGCATTAACTTCGTGTGTTAGTATTATGTTTTATGTCTGCGACCTGACCTTTGATAATTTATTTCTACTTTTTTTCAAAAACTGTCACTCAACACTATTTGGTTATCATCATCGGTAAATTGACTACTGTTCGTTAGTGAATTATCAGTTGGTTTTTGGCACTTGGTTTGTATAAATGTGACTTTTCAAAACACATACTATCTATCTATATGCCGATTAACCATTTAGCGCATATTCTATAATAGTCTTTTAAATGGATATATGTTAACTTCTTTTAGTACATTTGAAAACAAAATTTTCAAATTTTATTACGACGTATTTAAATACCACTCTACGTTGATGATTGGCATGTTTTATTTTAAAAAGGCTAATTTTTCTTTCTCATATTAGGTAAACTCTAGAGGATTTAATGATTTCTGTGTTCAAAAAATTCGTCAAGCTTCTTTTGGACGTAGAGAAATCGAAATAGCTGAACAAGGTAATTACACTGTTGTTCAATTGCTTTCTATTTTTAATGAATTTCAATGCAAAATAAACAACGATAGTGACAAACTAATATGACTTCATTACATTTTTTGAATACAACCACTTACAATTGAGAGGATTAGGGTCGTCATTATTCTATAGCTTTATTTTTGAGATCTACTCGGAAATATTTTTTCCCACTGTCTAAACTCTGCTAATATTCCTGTGCCAGTTGATCTACTTTTTCCTGTTACGTAATCTGCAGAGTTGGTGTTCTATCCTTTACACAAACCATTTAGCAGATGACCTTTTCGTAATGAATATACAACAAGGACGGAAGACATCCAAATACTAACTTGTCCCAATCGAAGAGGAATAACAAGAACTTCCAAAATTTTAGACATTCCTTTATATACACAGCCAAATCACATCGCACCAATAAATGAAAACGACTTTACATGAATGAGCGAAGAGTGGCTGTGAGTAGGGGGGAGATTGCAAAGGATAAACTATCAACAGATTAAGAATAATAAATCATACAACCATAGTTAATGAGTTATTTAAGAACTCAGGATATATATATATATATATAATCTAGGTACATCTAATTATAAAACCAGACTATATACAACTATAATCCATTAACTGGATTCTTAAACTACTAGTTATTTTAGTCTTCATCGGAATATCACATTTAGTTTTCTATTTTTAGAAACCACTTAAATCTACGCTTTTCTCAATTCTGCCTTCTAAAGTATTTACACAATTGTCTGGAAATTAATCAATCTTACTCACCGATTGTACATTTTACATATTCACTACATAAGTTGCTGAGTACCTTACTCAAAAATATGATAGAAAAAAATTATGTATATCTACTTTTTTTCAAATTAATTAACAATTTGGTTAGAGGTTTAGAACAATTCACAAAACAAATGAGTTCAGATCATTTTGTCACAATTGTTGTTCCTACCTTTTTTGAAAACACAAATAATGAATTGTGTGAATAAAGAGCACACATAATAAGTGCTAGTAGTTTGCAGATATCACGTAACGGTAAAAAAAAAATAGTTGATTTTCTGCTATCATTATTTGAAATGGTAAATTTATTGATAATTTTATGAACAGATTCTGTTCTTCCTCATGTTTACAAATAATATCGAATATAGTTTGCTAATTTCTGTCTATTATTATTAACCTGGTAATGTGGTTGTACATTCATCGTACTTCTGACATTTCTTCACTTGTTTTAATTCGAATTATCGTTTGTGTTCGCGTTCCTGTCTGCAGTTATCACATTGCTATATCGGAGACATTTGATGCATTCAATGCAACTATATTTACTAATTGATTAATATGAACCAATATGAACTGTTAGTTAGTGACAATCATTCAGCAAAACCATGTTTTAATGATACAAAGTTTTAAAGCAAACAGTTTTCAGGTGATAAAATCAGTGGCTAACTTGTTGTATTTCTTTACATTGGATGAATCCGCTTATATACAAAATATTTAACATAAAATACAAAATAATCAAGATTTATTTATTCAGTCAGTCAGTCAGTCAGTTGCAACGTAGAACTTCGTACGTAAGTACATCAGTTCATGTCGCCATACCACATCAGCACAGAGATATAATTGTCAATTCAAATCCAATAGTAGAAGAGGTAGTAAAGGTATTAGAAGTAATCGGAGAGGTTAGAATTAGAAGATATTATTCACGAAGTATGATTCAATGAGATAAGTTTAGAAAGTAAAAGCTAGAGGTGTTGAAGAATCCAGAAGATTAGGATTTGAGAGAACACAAAGAATAAATGCACTGGCGCCATTGCGAACGATTTTGAGCCATGTCATTCAAGGTCTCTAACCATCGATTATTATCATCTCGCGGACCCCAACCAGGTAGTCGACAATTACCGACATGGCTAAGTCCACTCGTCAATGACTTGATGGATTTGTGCCATGTTTTGTTTTGGCCGCCCCTAGCTTTCTTCCAACCTATTCCTACACCACAAAACAAAGCTCTTCGAGGCAGTCGGTGGTTGGGCATACGCAACACATGTCCCAACCACCTCAACTGATGAAGTTTCACCACTTCATCTATTGATCTGCCATTCTTACCTAGTACCCGATTCCTAATAACAGCGTTGCTCACTCGGGTGTCCCACGATATACGAGCAATGCTTCGAAGACACCTATGATCGAAAACCAATAACCGACGAGTATCTTCTACTCTCATTGGCCATGTTTCACAGCCATAAAGTAAGACGGAGCAAACCACTGCGCAGTACACTCGTCCTTTAGTCAGCAAACGGATATCTCGCCTACGCCATAAGTGACGCAGGTTGGCAAAAGCCAATCGAGCCTTCTGTATCCGTGCCGAGATTTCGTCAGTCACCAGGCCATCAGCACTGATGAGACTCCCAAGATAAGTGAAGCGGTCTACATGTTCGACCACTTCACTCCCTATTGTAGTGAATGAGAACACAGGTGGGACAACCGGAATTTTTATTTAACGAAAATTACAGAGTTACTCAGTAAAATCGGAAAACCATATCGTAAATCGTTCATTTGCAAAAGATCAGTTCATCCTATGGAACTGGACTGTTCCTGTTGCCAAACATCAATCCATTGTCACTATTCATGCGTTTCATACAAATTCCATTGTTTTCTAACTCTTCCTTTCTTGATCTTCCCCCCATATTATGCTACCAGACTTTACGTTGACACTCACGTCATATACTACTTATAAGTAGTTCGCACCACAGCACCACACTATCACTAGCTCAGCTGCCGATGAAACCCAATCTTGAAGCAACATTTTGCATTTCGAGGGGGAAAACCGCATCCCGAACATGCTTGCATTGTTGCTTAGGGTGGTCAGAAGACTCTGCATTTTGTCAGTGTCTTCACCAAGTAGGACTATGTCATCGGCATATTCTAAGTCAATAAGCGAGTCACCTGGTAGAAGGTCTACACCAGAAAATTCAGACGAGGATAAGGTTATTTCTAGGAGCATGTCTATGATAAAATTAAACAAGAATGGAGAAAGTGGACATCCCTGACGGACACCACTTGAAGTAGAGAATTCCGTTGTCAGTTCGCCATAAGCTCTCACTCGACCAGTGGTGTTTGAGTAGAGAGCTTGTATGAGGTTAATGTACTTCTTTGGTACACCTTTCAATGACAGACACTGCCACAGAACCTCACGATCCACAGAGTCAAATGCCACCTTAAGGTCCAGGAAAACAACTATTGTAGGACACCTAAATGTGTGTCTGTGTTCCAGGACCTGTCGTAGTGTGAAAATGTGGTCTATACAGCCACGTCCAGGCCGAAAACCAGATTGGTTTTCTCGAGTTTGCTCTTCACGAGCTTTCGTTAAGCGTCTAAGTATTACTGAGGCCAATATTTTAGATACTATATTAGTTAGACTTATTCCTCTGTGATTGTCACAAGAAGACTTCTGTCCTTTCTTATAGATTGGGACAATCAGTGATTGAGACCAGTCGGATGGGATTACGTCCATTTCCCAGATTCTACCTAAGATCTCAGTCAATCTAGCTGCTAAAACTGGACCACCATCCTTAAATATCTCAGGGGTCAGTCTATCAGGACCTGCAGCTCTTCCTCGTTTCAGATTTCCTAACGCTTTCTCAACTTCATTAAAACTAGGGGGACTTACGTCGATTTGCCATTCAGGATGACTGGAGATCGTGGGTAACCGAAGAGTGGCTCGAGGCCAGTTGAACTGATCCCTAAAGTGTTCTGCCCATCGATCCAGTCTCCTGGATTGAGAATAAATAATAGTCCCGTCATATTCTGAGATAGTCTCACTTACACTAGGATTCCTAATACCAGTTTCCTTGATAAGTCGGAAAAGTTGTCTAGTGTTGCCGATCGCCGCTGCCTTTTCCATCGCTTTTGCTTCCGCCACCCACCACTGTTCGCGATCGTTGCGTAGACTTTTTATAAGTCTGCGCCTAAGTTGACTTCGTTCTTCATCATGTTCAGAGCCATGTGGGATGAGTTTTCGGGCATCCATCAGATCGGTGGATGCTACTGAGATCCACGGTTTCATTCTAGAGTTATGGTCAACCTTACTAGCAGATATCACTGCTGTTTCCACAGCCTTTTTGATATCATTCCATCCTGCTTCCGGCTGGGAATCGCTTAAATGGTCGCCTAACTGTCTTTCTAGTTGTTCCTGAAATATATTTTTCGCCTTATTATCATTAAGTAAAACCCTAAGAGGCTTTCTTACGGTGTCTTTCCTACGCCCAGTAAGCTTCAAACAAATACGCGCTCGCACTAGGGCATGATCTGAATCTAGACATGTGCCCCAGAACGAGCGACAGTCCTCTATCGAACCCCTCCATTGGTGGCTGATGGCGATGTGATCTAGTTGAGTCCAACGTTGAGACGACTTTGGAGGTCGCCAGGTCAATAGATGCTTTTCCTTATGCCTAAAGTTAGTGTTTGCTAAGAATAGGCGGTTGTCTGAGCATGCTTGCAACAGACGGTCACCATTGTCTGTTCTCTGAGCCGCGACACCATAACATCCACCTAGGTGTTTCTCCTGCTCACTTAGTTTACCTACTTGAGCATTAAAGTCACCAGCCATTATCACTATATCAGAGCGCCTAGCTTTTTGGAGGAGGTCCGAAAGCTTTCTGTAAAACTCATCCTTAATCTCGTCTGAACTGCATTCAGTGGGGGCATAGGCAGATACGATGAAGAGGCAACGGCGATTGTCCCTATCTTTCCGAGTCCTTACTGTCCCTTTTAGTCGGACAGCGCACAATCGACTATCTATTGGGATCCAGTCAAGGAGAGATTGTTCTGCCCTACGACTCAATGCTTTGCCTACGCCAGCAAGACCCCTGGAAGCAGCATCAGGGCTACCGGATACACGAAGAGTAAATCGAGCTGCTTCTTTATTTTGACATGGTGTGGCCAAGTGTATGACGCGACTCGGATCGTGTATGCTCGTTTCCGAGACGCAGCATACATCGATGGCACGAGATTCTAAAGTCCTAGCTAAGGAAGCCTGTTGCCCTATTTGACACAATGTCCGTACATTAAATGCTCCAACATGTAATCTAGAGCGAGGTTTAAGGGGACCAGGAACGACGTTTCGCGAACTCGTATCGTCTGCATTAGCTGTGCACTGTGATGAATGAATGTGAGAAGAGTTAGTTGTGGAGATAAGAGAGGTACTAGGGGGTGTAGGAAGCATTTGATTTTGACCAATTTGGTCTCGCGTGCTGTTATGGGTATGAGGGCGGTTGTCACTTCCCGGCTGCCCACACCGTGGATGGTTGTTTCTTGAGGAACCTGAAAAGGAAGATAGATTAGTGTTGGTGCGTGACCGCAGAGTCCAAGGGACAACTGCTTGAGGCCGGTCACGCACGGCCTTTTTATGAAATGTTTTTTGAGGATTAGCTCCGTTCTTAAAGGCCCTTAGTGGGCACCCTTACCCAAGGAGACGGAAATCCGTGAGTTAGGGGAGGTGTGACATTTTTAGGATTGACCTTTTCTAACCCTTCCTTCCTTGTGAGAAGGCAGCATCGCTGCAGATGCTGGTTGTCCGAGGGAAACACCTTACTGCTGTCACACCCCTCTGCAGTCAGCAGTACGACTTCGCCCTCAGACCTTGGGTAGCTGCTTTTAGTCTCATCGTTCTCCAATCGACCTGTCTGGCATGGTAGAACCTTGAGGAACATCTGTTCCAGCCAGTATAGCTCGGTTGGGTCATCACGATAGGCAAGCCCGACCACCACATCAAGGTAGCAGCTACGGTCGGGTGATTTATTTATTACAGTTGTAGGATAAAATGCAGCGATGACAAGTTAACTTTCGACCACTAAGTTCCAAATTCTACCCTCTCTGTACCTACCTTGTCCATCAGACTTAGTGTAATTCTTATCCAAGTACCTGATAAATGAGTTAATTAAACTCTTATTAAAGGATAAAATTCTTTTGTTAACAACTCACTAGTAAGTAAAAACATAATCATTACGTTTAACCCTTGTCTGTCATACTTACGTACGAAGTTCTGTGTTGTATCTGTCTGTCATATATGATAATATAGTTAACCATTATTATAGTTTTGACTTTATTTTGATGAATGATTTGGTTAAGTTTACCTAATCATCTATCAACATTATTCCAATTGTAGGAACAGTTATTAACGTCAAAGTTGTTTTTTTTTAAAAATTGTTTTTCATGTTTATATAAGTTTTTATTTCGTTTGTTCAATAATTTATGTTTCATTAGTAAAGAATCATTTTAACTCTTTAACAATGTTACTTTCGAATTTCAATCCAGATAGAGTTTTTCTAGTTCATCGTTCAAATGGCTCGATTTATTTTAAACTACCATTTTCTATTTAATGTGTAATCATAAGTTCCTAATTGTGATCTCATGATTTCTTATTGCATTCAATCAGTAAGACACGTGTTAATTGAATCTTACCTTGTCCTTATTGACAATTATTAATTAAATCTAGTGTGTTATTTTTTTGTATCACAAAACTTGACTATTCACATTATGCTGAATTTTTTTTTGCACCCGTTACATTTTACCGTTCAAATGAACACACAATAGTATCATTCATATGTACAAATTTTTCAAATATAATTGTCCACTTAGATTTTGAAAGTAGCTAATTACTATCATTCGACTTTTTAAGAAAATGATAATACTAAATATTGTTATGTAGTAAACTTTTTACTAATTCTTATATTCTTAACATTATAAATTTATTAAACATAAACTAAAATATTTATGTGTACACACTAATGTATATATATATATATATATATATATATATATATATATTATATATAGATCAAACGTCCATATAATCATATGGCTTTTAAAATTTTACTATAATCATAACAATGCTATTTTTATTGAATGTTATTTGACATAAAGCAATCTTGTCAATGAATTTTCACTATATGTGAATTGAAAACGAGCAAAGGGAGACATATATATATATATATATATATATATATATATATATATATATACGGAGATATGATTATACTTTACATATGATGTTGAACTTTTCAAACTAGTTCGTTTAACTATTGTTATAGTGTTTTTTTTTTCAGATTACTTTTATGTAGAATAGTTGTTAATGTTTCTTTCAATGTTGAACAGGATTGTTATCAGTGCACTAGCTAATCAACTACTTCTTAAAACAAGTCCTTTGATAAATTTTAGATAGTGTGAATAAGAAGGTAAAACTTATCAGAATCATTTGATGTTCTAGCGTAATAAATTCCGAACAATCTGATTAGAAATTATCATTGTTAAAAACTTTTGTATAAGAAAAATACAAGGTTAACTTATCTCGTGAGTCTCAGCGCTGATAGCCTGGTGAATGACAAAATCTTAGCACGGATACTGAAGGCTCAATTGGCCTTTTGCCGATTTGCGTCATTTATTGCATTGGCGAGATATTCGTTTGCTGACTAAAGGATGAGTGTAATTCGCAGTAGTTCGCTCCGTTCTCCTACATGGTTGTGAAACATGGCCGGCAAGAATAGTGGATATTCGTAGGTTACTAGTATGTGACCATAGATATCTTTGAAGCATTGCTTGAGTATCCTGGGACAACTGAGTGAGCAATGCTGTCGTTAGAAAACGAGTACTATGTAAGGGTGGTAGGTCAATAGATGAAGTTTTTAAACTTCATCAGTTGAGATGGTTGGGACATGTGTTACGAATGCCCGACCGCCTCGTTGAGCTATGTTTTGTGGTGTAGGAGTAGGTTGGAAGAAAGTTAAGAGTGGCCAGACCAAAACATGGCAGAAATCCATGAGGTCACTGACAAATGGACTGAGTCATATTGGTAGATGTAGGCTACCTGGTTGGGGTCCGCGGGACGAAAGTCATCGATGGTTAGAGACCTTGAACGACATGGCTCAAAATCCTTTGCGATGGCGCAAGTGCATCCATTCATTGTGCTCTCTCAAATCCTAATCTTTTGGATTTGTCAACACATCTCCCTTTGTCTTTTAAAACTTATCTCCTGATACTTATACTTCTTGAATAATATCCTAATCTTCTCCATCAGCAGTAATTCTTCTACTATCTCTACCGCTATGGGATTTGAATTGACAGTTGGGTCTCTGTGCTGATGTGGTATGGCAACCTGAACTGATGTATGTACGTACGAAGTTCTAAGTTGCAACTGACTGTGACAAATGGAAGAGAGGATGAAACAAAGATAATGAAGAAAATAATTTTTTAAACAATGTGAAACTCACTGTACTGGATTCAAAAAAGAAGATCAATATTACCGCGGAAAAGGTTTATTTATTTAGAATAGACATAAAGTGGGTTTGTATTGTTGTTTATATCCAAGCCCTCTTTATATATTAAAAACATTCTATTCTAAATATAAATTTCTCCTTGGTTATAATGTTTTCTTTCTAATCCAGCACAGTGAGTTTCACATTGTTTAAAACATAATTTTCTTCATTATGTTTGCTTCATCCTCTCTTCCATATGTCTGATTGACTTAATATTTTTCATGTATAAAAGTTTTTAACAAAGATAATATCTAATCAGACTGTTTGAAATTTATTACGCTATAATATATCAAATGATTGTGATAGATTTTGTCTTTTTATTCACACTATCCAAATTAATCAGTCATTGCTTACTTTCTCTATGTTTCAACAATTTTTTTCTATTGTTTGTTAAAGAGATGCCTGGTTTGATGGCACTTAGAAAGCGTGCGAAAACCGATCAACCATTGAAAGGAGCCAAGATTCTCGGTTGTACACATGTGACTGCACATACAGCTGTGAGTGGATTTTTACCCGCGGGATTTGTTTCTTCACCGTACATTATAGATAGTTTTTAATGATTATTATCTGTATCATAGATTTGTGTTGTTTTTTGTTTAGTCACTGATTCATAATTATTTTACAACTTATTCCTCTTGAAAAATCTTGAATCACATGGTTAAGGAAGATAATAAAATCTAATATCCATAGCTAAAGTCCTCAAAAAAATTTTTAATTTGTATATGACGCGTTTCTTTGAAATGTAACAGACATTTATGTACATTGGTATTGTATATTTACGCGAAAAATGTAACTAAACGACTTGAAATGATGTTCACACTTGAAATCTCTATAATATTTATATCACTATTTGTGTGGGTTTGATTTATTCCATTGTTTATATTTAGAGCTGAATTTTGATTAGTCTTAGCTAGTGTAATAGATGTGGATCCTGAGTGAATTACATTAATGTAGATATTATCTCACAATTTATTTAGAATAGGTTACTTATGGCTGACTAGGAAGTCCAGGATGCTTATTTTGTCGTTTCGGTTATTCATCAGCTGCATATACCAGAATACCAACAACGGGATAACGCAAACCCTTTGTAATGATAATCTAAACAACGTACCCATTAAACTAGTCACTATCTAGACTCCGTAGCTCAATGAGTAACGCGTTGGTCATTTTAACCGAGTCTGTGTGAACACTGGGGTACATATACTTCTAGCTGACATGACCCGGCTGCAACAAAATGTGCTTCTCGGATTCTACTGCTAACCACATTCCATATGAAAGTCTGATGCATGCACAATCTACGAATTATCCAATAGGATAAGCTGCTAACAGTTCACAGTTAAAACTATTGTCGGAAAAAAATAAATATCTATTTCATAGACATGAATATGCATAGGACTAGTCATTGTAACAGTATTGAACCAACTAAGTTGTCTATTAACTGTGTACAGCATATTGTTATCAGCCTGAATCATACTGTCTTTATAGATTTGTCACAATTAATTAACAGTAAGACTTCCATACAATATAAGTATCGTCAAAATGAACGATCTGCATGAATCCGAATCATTATTATTCATCCAAGGTTTAATTTTTTCCCTTCTGGTTATCTAATAATTGCTTGTATACTGTAAAATGTTTAATAGATCAAATGCGATAGATCTCAGTTGATAGATTTTCTCTTTTTGCGTCTATCATTTAACATTTTAAAAAGAATTAGCCGGATCTTTTATATATGAACTGTTCCTGTATCGGCGTTTTTATTCAAATCCAAATTTTATTTGTTTAAAAAGATGTTTTTCTGTTATTTAGGTACTACTTGAAACAATGGTCTGTCTTGGTGCTCAAGTACGATGGTGTGCTTGTAACATATATTCAACACAGGTAAGCTTATATGTACGCTTATGCAGTCGATCGTGATGGAAAGATTTCTTTTCCAATAATAATTTAGAATAGTATAGCCTTCAACATAAATATTTCTTTTTATGCAGTTATTTTCTTAAGTAAAATATTGTATAATCATAAGCACTGTAAGAATTTTTGTTATATTTTTTGATCTAAAAGAATAAACCCAATCAGTCAGTGTTTGTTAGTTATCACAAAAAAAAATCATATCGATAAATTTTCATTCCATCTATCAACTAACTATCTACCTGTCTGCGTCTAAAATTATCTACTGCTTCAAAATAATCAACTGAAATTATTGTTTTTTTGATAAAGTCAAATTAATCACAAGTTTTGACATTAGAAAAAAAGTAAAATAAGCATTCATTAAATTTTGTTTCATTTATTCACTAATTGACTAGCATAGCTTATATGCTTCTGTTTAGTTATTCATTTTCTAAAAGAAAGTTGGTACCGCATGCTGTGTACACTAATGAGGAAACTGACAGATTAGTTTGTATAAGAAAATTTTTTTATCAAACGATCTGTTAGCATTAATTGCTTTCATGTACTACTGTGTTAAATGAGTAACGCCAAACCACTGTACAAATGACAACACCGAACGTTAGACTCCCACCTTTCAAAAATAAGAAGACGGAAGACGTTGGAGAACACTTATTAACGGAATCAAAAATATACAATAAAACATGCGTATTTGTACAATTATATATATAATCGATATTGTTCTTAAAATATTTGAACACCAATCAAATAGTTCATCGATCGACTGCCCTTGAAATATTTAAGCATTCAATCGATAAGTTCATCAATCGATTGGCTATCCCAACACCTCCCCGGAATAAGATTTTTTTCTTGGGTCCACTTGTAGTCTTTCGACTGGGTTGCGGCGGCGTTCCATTCTGTTTGTATTTTTTCTAGTTAGTGTCTCCGGCCTTCCCCTTTCTTCGATATTACGGGAAAAATGTGTAGTTGTCGGTTCTGTGATCAACTCCAGCGGTAGTTTTACGCGATTATCACCCAAACGTCCCATTCTTTTGTCCTTTCGCAGTTGGTTCGTGTGTCTGACACAGCTTCCGAAAGCTCCTGTTATCCGATACAAAACTCTTCCTAGTTTTTGTACGACGGTTCCTGGTTCCCATTGATTTTTCCCCAGATATGATTTTAGGAACACTTTATCGCCAACGGTAAAGCTGCGCATATTTTGATTTGGCCTGTACCTATTCACTCTTTTAGGGGGCAACATCGCGTTAAAAATAGTCCGAATACTTCTTCTAAACATTGCTTCAGCTGGAGACTTCCCATCTGGGACCGTATGGTTCGGAGTGCTTCTGTAAGTCGTTAAAAATCTAGTGATTACTTGGCTAGTTGACCCCTCGTCTCCCCCTTTCAGTAAAGCTCTTTTGAAGGTGCCAACGAGGCGTTCTGCTTGTTCATTGGATTGGGGACGGTAAGGTGGGGACCTTAGATGCCTTATGCCGTTTGAACTGCAGAATCGCTTGAATCAGTCCGCAACAAATTGTGATCCATTATCAGTTACCAAGGTTTCTGGCACTCCAAAACAACTAAATAAGGTAGACAGCTTCTGAATAGTTTCTGAGGCTGTACAATTTGGCACGCTGTATATTTCTGGCCATTTCGTATATGCATCTACAATAATTAGAAACATTTTGCCTTGGATCGGGCCAGCGAAATCTACATGAATTCTCTCCCAAGGTCCAGTAGGTTTTTGCCATTGTTGGGGCTCGCATTTCGAAGGGTTTTTTTACGGCTTGTATGCATGAAAGGCAGTTTCGGCATTTGGTTTCTATATCTTTATCCATCGAGGGCCAGTAGGCATGGCTGCGCGCCAATGATTTCATCTTGTTTATTCCAGGGTGACCACTGTGAAATTGCTTGAGGGTTTTATGTCGCAATAATTCTGGAATATTAATTCGGTCACCAAACATAATGCGTGAATCGATAATAGTGAGTGAATCGCGCCAGCAGAAATACTGTTGCAGTTCTCCTTGTAGACGACGATTCGGCCACTTTGAGAGGAGATAACCTTTGACTTCTTGTAGTATTTTGTCATTTCTCGTAGCTTCCTTAATAGCTTTGAATGTAATTGGTAAACCATCTACTGCGTCTTCCAACACTCGATGTACTTCTGACTCAATCGCTGCCACCAAAGTATCTTCTTCCTGATTCGCTTGAGAACCAATGAGCCTAGACAAAGCGTCAGCTTGTCTGAAAGCATTAGTAGGTTGATATTTAATTTTGAAGTTGTAACCCAATAATATGGTTCCCCATCGTTGTAATCTGTTTGCAGTATAGACTGGGATCCCTTTCTTTGACCCAAATATAGCTAGCAGCGGTCTGTGGTCAGTTAAGAGTGTGAAGCTGCGTCTAAATATCATCTTGTGAAATTTTCTTACAGCAAAAATAATTGACAATGCTTCTTTCTCAATCTGACTATAGTTACGTTCTGCTCTAGTTAAAGACCTTGTTGCATGCGATATTGCCTTCTCTGATCCGTCAGGCATGATATGCGAAATGCTTGCTCCAATGCCGTAGTTTGAAGCATCTGACGCTACTACAATAGGAAGGGATGGGTCATAGTGTGTCAGCGACAGATCCGAGAGTAGCAGTTTTTTAATCTTCTCGAAAGCAGTTTGACAACTTTTGGACCAACATCACTTTACGTTCTTTGTTAAAAGCCTGTTTAATGGGGCACGTAGACGACGAAGGTCAGGGATAAAAGCTCCATAATGAATAACTAGCCCCAAAAAGGATCGAAGTGTGGGGACATCTGTCGGTCTCGGCATTGCTTTCAAAGCTTGAGTGTTTTCTGGATTTGGTTTTCTCCCGTCCTTATCGATAATAAAACCGAGGTAGTGTACACTCTGCATCCACCCGAAGCCGGAATCCATATTCAGCTATTCTTGTTAGCACCTGGTTGAGCTTCTTTTCTAAGTCTATTCTATCAACGCCCATAATTATTATGTCATCCAGGTAAGCTGCAACTCCAGGGAGATCATGTAGCATAGTGTCCGTCACCTGTTGAAATATGGAGGGCGCGGTTTTGACTCCAAAAGGTAACCGATTATATCGGAATAGGCCCCTATGTGTGTTTATAGTAAGCAGATCTTTACTTTCATCAGCGACAGGAATCTGCAAGTAAGCTTCCGATAAATCCAGTTTTGCAAACACCTTGCCTCCATTTAGCTTAGCGAAAAGATCCTCAGTTGTATAGGCAAGGGATACTGGTGGGGTTCTAGAGCATCATTCAGTCCATTATAGTAATCAGCACATAGACGGACACTGCCGTTTGACTTCTTGACCACCACAATCGGTGCAGCCCATTTGGAGAAACTCACAGGTTCAACCACACCCATTTTCTGAAGTCGTACCAGTTCCTGTTCAACTACTGGGAGAGAAGCATACGGTACAGGTCTTTTTGTTCGAAAAACAGGAATAGTTATTGGCTTGAGAGTCAGTAGTGCCTTGGCTTTCGTACATTCGCCCAACGCTTCCGAAAATACGTGATGATGTCTTTTTATAATGGCATTTCTCAGACTTGACTCTAAAGGATTGTTGATTCTAACTTGGCTGCAGATATTTTTGATAGTATGGTCTGCTAATTTTAATACATCGAGGTCCGGGTTCTCAGTTAAGTATACAATTGCACTAGTTGTCGCCTCATTTTTTGAAACGGTGCACAATATTTCCCCAACAATATTTAGTTTGCCACCAGATGCGCTGTGTGCTAGTTTCCTCGTTTGGTGAACTGTAGGTCTTCCGATATACTCCCAAGTTATTGGACTGATAAGGGTGATATCAGATGCTATGTCAAGTTGAAGACGGATACGGTGTCTATTTATATCCAAAGTCACATACCTTCTTCTGCGATGAATTCTTGTATAGTTATGAGATACTAATCCTTTGTTTATTGTCTTATCAGATCTGTATTTCTTGGAATAGACTTTCGCGGAGTAATGTCTGCTAGCTTTTTCTCTACATCGGGTTTCTTTGTGGTCTTTTTTGTGACATTTAGTGCAAAAATATTCTTTGTATGGACAAAACTTCTTGTAGTGCCAACCTCCACATGACCAGCATGGGGATGAGGGCTGGTTGTCTGTCCTTTTGTGAGCCGGAATCTTTCTTTTCACTAACGGCATGCACGTATGATGGTCGGCTATTGTTTTCGACCATGGAGGTATCATGCTTCAAATTTACTAATCTCTGACACTGTAGTTATTTCTTGTCGCGAAGTGTTTGGGTACTGCTCAATTTTACTTAAGATTTTGGTTCTTATATCAGCATCTTCGGGAGATTGTAAGCCGCACACAAACACAAGGCACTTAATCCTGTCTTCCGTCATTGATGATAATTTAAATCGTTCACATTCACGATTTACTAAGCCGGCGTGTTTTACCCGGTCATCTTCACTTGACTTAGTTATTTTAAGGCATTGATAACGAATATTAAAGAGAGATGACTGTTCAGCGTTTCAATTGTAGCCTCAAAAGAGAAATCTCTTGGGTTCTTTGGGAGGATGAAGTTACTATAACGTTCATGTTCGATTGTGCCGAGCTTTCTCAAAAGGATTCTGACTTTAGCGGCGTCATCAAGTTTGTCGAGGTCGACCTTGAACAAATCCTCATACTTCTTGAACCAAGACTCGAAAGTCACACCAGCAAGGCCATCAAAATGAAATCCATGAATGGAATTAATTATCGAGTCTGTATACAGATTATATGAATCATCGGTAAAACCTCTGTGATTCCGATTCATTTGTCTCATTAACATCTCCGACATACGTTCCTGGAACTGTTCATATAGTTTTCCTTGACGTTCCAGTAAAGATTCTGTCTGTTCTAGGGTAATTGACATTGTGGGTTGTACACTCTGTCGCCACTTTTATGTTCTCTACTTGAGTAACGCCAAACCACTGTACAAATGACAACACCGAACGTTAGACTCCCACCGTTCAAAAATAAGAAGACGGAAGACGTTGGAGAACACTTATTTATTGATTCAAACAAATATTGCAATTTATGTATATCGTTTTATTATAGTTGAAGAGTTGTTTATTCATTAAAATGTTTATTTAATGAACCATTCACACTGTACCTCTATTATTATTATTATTATTATATAATTGGAATAATGATTTGGCACATTTCTAGTTTTCTAGATGATTATTCCATATAAAGTATTAGTTTGTTATGATTCCTTTCTACATAATTACTATTTAGTAATCCATTAAATTGTGTTTCCAGGTCGTTGTCGACGTCAATATTGTCTTTACCATATTATTTCATTTATCATTGTGCTTTGTTGTTTATGGAAAACAATTTAACTATTCAATAAATACCATATTAGGACAATGATATATGTGATTTAGTGGTTTTGTTCGTGTTTCAGTCTAATCAGAATAAAAATTTCATTGAGGTTGTAAAATACAGACCGTAAACAAATATAATTCTGTAGATTCAAGTTATTTTGTTATTTTCTTGCAAGAACAGAGAAAATCTTTTCATTTAGTAATTTGTGTATTGTCTTTGTTGTCAGAAGAGATTTATTGCGATTCTAACAAAAACTTACTTTCTCGTATCTATTTCTGTCGTCATATTATAAGTGATAAAACTGTGCACTAAAATTGTTTTCGTTGATCAACTCTACTCAATCAAAAATTCAAGCACGGTTCAGTAGTGGCTTTACAACATATCATTTAGGTAGCTGGAAGTTATTTATTCGAACACATAAATATTGTTACAGTGAGGCACCTAAATATTTATGGACCACGCAAAGCCATGAATTTGTGTGCGGGCTGTAATATCGTCTGGATGCTCAAACCAGTGTATGTTGTTATCTTCGGAGGCCGCTCCTCAAGGCAGTGGCAAAACCTTAGGAGATGCAATCCAGTTGTTGCTAGTGACCAACGATAGATTCATGCGTCGTTTTTTCCATTAGAATCCTGGAGCCCATTTATACCATTGGTTTGAAACCAGGGTTTTCCAACTCCCGTAGGAGTATCTTCCGTACTCACCAACCTGGGTAAACCTCCAGACATATGCTTTTCGTCTTCTAAAGTTCGTAAATAATACCTCTGCTATGGAAACGCAGTTATTCGAACTCTTCTGTCAGTAGCAATGAACATGTCATATGAGAGCGTTTCGAGAGTGGAGAGACGGACTCTCTCCACTCTTGGCAGTACCAAGGCAATCGAAAACTAGTTGATGGTTGCGTAAATTATTCAAAATGTAATGCATATCTCATTAGTTGTTTAATCTCTTCTACCTTTTATCATTGTCGTTGATTGGTAAAGTAGCTTGAGAAATATTACAAGTCCATACAGTAGACATTGCAACAAACACTCGTTCTCCACCATCTTAAGTTCACAATCCTTTCAGTTCTTTTAATTTTTATTACTTTTAATTTTCTATTAGGCCGTAACAACCTAAATGACACTCACCTTTGGATGCTTAAGACTTATCAACCCTGTAATGTTTACTGATACTGTAATCGATGTGTTGAATACTATTGTTTAAAAATTTTCATAATTTATAGAATGAAGTAGCAGCTGCGTTAGCAGAATCCGGTTTTCCTGTGTATGCATGGAAAGGTGAAACTGAAGAAGATTTCTGGTGGTGTATTAATCGTTGTATATGTGCTGAAGGTTGGATACCCAATGCAGTATGTTAGATGTTTTCATTTGTTGAATTTTTGATTTGCATTTAAAATATTTCTTTAAGTTTCATGTTTTGAGTTGAGCATTATGTTTTTATACTGAAGTATAGAACTTTACTCTTTGACCAAGGACTATTTTACACAGATAAGATTTGTATTTCTTGTACTTAAGAAGAGGAATTAATGGTGTTATTGGTGTTATCTCACTAACAATGTTTGATGCAGAAAAATGATGAAAAATCAAGAAAACTTGTTTGTATAAAATCCCATAGTTTTGACATTTCTGACTAACTTAAGTATTTGTGAAATGTACAGTATAACCAGTATTATTAAAAAAATATATATAAATCATACTTTTTTTAAAAACAACAAGTTCAATTGATCTTTGATCATTTCATATATCTTCAATTTTCTCTCACTTTGATTAACTGGTCAGATTTAAGTTGCTCAAACAGTATAAATTTTTATAATTCAAATGACTAATCAGCTACTCTTTGCTAACCAGGCAACAATTGAAAACCTAAAAGCACTGGACAGCCTGTCGATCAACTTGGCTGGCATCTAGTAGCGTACATATTTGACTTCAATCAACTCATGATATTACACAACCGTCACCTCATTGACTGTGGTGAATAATTGTCTCACATCTAATATGATTAAACTATACTCATCACAAGTGCTTACCGGAGTTCCAGAAGGTGTATTTTGATTTGCTTTCTTGTGTACCATTCAGTTATTACAGGTTTAGAAAATTTAGAGGCTATTTCGTTCTGTTGATACTCAGACTACACTAAGAAAAAATATTTTTTGATTTGTTGTTCATCATTATAGTCTAGTTTCCAGTATATTATATTAGCTTCACCTATATACTGATTATTCAGGCGTTAATGATCTTCATCGCTAGTTTGAAAGCTTAAAAATTAGACACCATGGATAACTTAGAGGAGGTATGTTAGTAATAAATTGTCGATATCCCTTTCTCTTTACAGAGTTCATTGTTGTCAACTCTTAGATAAATGTATGCTTTCAGAGCACAGAAGAATGACATTTGTTTTACGTACCATCCAATCGTATACTGTGCGAAGCTTGTGTCGTTAATTATACACAACCACTTGTTATATGTGTACAATGGAATATGAATTTTCTTTTTTCGTAGACACATGTTATCATAACACTATACCTAGTTTTCTCCAAGTCTTGTTTGGTCGAGACCACCACTTCATCAGTACATATGGTTTTAGATTCATACAGTCTTATGAAAACAAAAAGAAATTATCTGTTCTAGAATATCCGGTCTAGTATATGCCTTAAAATTTAGACCCTATAAATAGTAATGCATAACTCCACTATTTACACAAATAATTTCACTTGTTTGCATGTTTATATATTGTTCATCTCACTTATTACATTAAATATGATGGATACTATCTATTCGTCGTTTCTTTCTCCAGCCACTCTATTTTTCACGATCTCTTGTTACTAAATTCTTATTTTCAGTAATCTTTTTCATGTTATATCTGACGTATACTGTTTATTTTGTCTATCCTCTTTTACATATATATCGATTAAGTAGTGGTTTTGACTTGAAAGCTTTGTAGTTACTATCATTTAATAGTTACCGTTGGTAACCAAGTTTTTACCGCCGAATCGCACCATTGGAATAATTAAATAAATATCGTTTTTTAAAGGCCAGCTGCATTGTCATAAAATTTGGTCTCATGACGACTAACACTATCCAACACGATGTTTCTGCAATTTTGAAGTCTTATTTGTTTTATCGACGTAATTGTTTCAAGTTCTGAAAGCTACAAATAGTTTTTTTTATGTAACAGTTTAAACAATGCATTTTCAAATGATCAATCAAAAGATTATGTTTATTCAACTACTTTATCACTTAGTTTTATACCTTGTATTATAATATGTTGATGAAATCATTGGATTTTCTAAACTTGTTTTTTTAATCATTAACTTAGATTATAGATTTCTATAAGTTACTTACTGCACATCAAACGTGTTTAGCTTATATCTATGGCGTCGCTCTGAATTATTATTTGGAATTAGATACATTAATGTAATTAATCTGTGTAGGTGAAATAACCTTGTCCTTTGTCTTCGGGTCATGCAATTAGACAGCATTTTTGTTCTTTTTCTAATGGAGTATACTAACCTGCTTTAAACATCATGTCACTATGGTATGTAAGTGTCTTCTCATATGTATAACTTGTATGTAGACAGTAAACTAATCGTACTTTAGATTGTTCCCAAACGAAGTCAATTCCATACTGTCAGTATTTTATAAAATTGAACTTCTACTTAAACCAGATAAACAAAATCCGAATTGTAATTTTTTAAAGTTCAACTATCCAAGAGAAATCATATTGTCTGACTCACGGAAAACATTATTGACTAAATGAAATAATTTTTAAAATAAATGTAACCAGAATATTGTTATAAGTAATGAATATCAAGCAGTACTTTCAAAACAGACCAATAAAAAGTGATCACGACCAATGAACTTCAGAAGGGAATTAATATCTTGTTTATTAAAATTAATTAGTTAGCTTAAATTTCTACCAAAGAAACTAGAAGTAATATTTGTAGTGTCTGTCTAGTGAAATGCTCACATGTATGTAATCGAAACACTATCACCCGTTTTGCCGTTAGGGTTGTTTTCATAACCAAAATTTATCTTAAACACACCCTACAATATGTACGTGCCTTTTTAAAAAAAAATTATTTTTTTGAATTGATACGTTCTACCTCATTTCATATTTTCTATCTACTCTTGTGTGAAATCGTGACGTTTTATATCGCAGTAATTTTCTTGAAAATGCCCACTGAATAATTTCAGTTTATATTCTTAGTATAGCTGATGATATGGTCTGCAAACTAATAATTATGCAGCCAACATTTTCTTGTCATTGTGTTTATCTTCTCATGTTTTATATTAATGTTAGCTCGTCTTATATTACTAAAAGTTTTTTAAAACAAATGCGAATTTCTCTGCTTGATAAACAAGTTTCTTTATGTGTAAAGTCAGAAGAGAATCGTAGACTCACAATCCTGAACGCTTTAGTAAACATGTCTTGGAGTCGTCCCAGAAGCGATAACACTATTTTCTATTGCTATTTGTGCGCTTCAATTTATCGATTGTATACGCCGTTTCTTCCTATTAGGTATGCCAACTCGGTTTCGTTTTTATTGAACTACTTCAACGTTTCTACAAATTTCATGTAGATACATGAAATACATTATTGTTTATCGATTTGACTCCCTTTCATCAAAACAAAAAAAGTATTTGCGAAAACTAACCCTTTCATCTTATTTCCGTGTAGTTTTGTTAAAGTCTTTCTGTTTATTAAATCATGCATGTTAGATCAGCGCAGATATGCACTTCTAAAGTGTCCTATACTTAAAAGAGATGGTTGTCCAGTGCTCCAGATTTGGATTGGTAGTTCAAATTAGATCGGTTCTGTAAATACAATCACTATTTAATCAGATTACTCGTATTTATAAGATGTATTGAATTACCTTTAAAACAAATTAGCAAATGGTTTATTTTGATTTTTTTTCATATATTTTTCTCATTTTATCTCTCAGGTTTTGGATGATGGTGGTGATTTAACTCATCAGCTGCACAAAAATTACAAAGAGTTATTGTCTGGTATATGTGGTATAGTTGAAGAAAGTGTGACAGGTGTTCATCGTCTTTATCAGTACGTGAAATCTGGCACATTAGGAGTGCCAGCTATGAATATTAGCGACAGTATAACCAAGTCAAAATTTGATAATTTCTATCTATGCAAAGAATCAATTGTTGATTCGTAAGTGCTTATATCATAATAAAAAATCATATAATAATTTATGACCCAAGTCGTATTTCGTTACATGCAAAGTTTTCACAGTTGTATTTATGTATATTCTCGGTTTATTTGGTTTTAATCATTCACCTTTATTGTTGAATTAGGATTACTGTTCATATTGTCTTCAAACCATTTTAATTGATCCTTAGTTTCTATTTTTACTGTTAAAACTAACGACTAAAATTTACACACCGCTTCATATGTATACTTATTTCGCATGCCTAACCACCGACTGCCTCGAAGAGCTTTGTTTTGCAGTGTAGGAGTAGGTTGGAAGAAAGTTAGGGGCGGCCAAACCAAAACATGGCAGAAATTCATGAAATCATTGACGAGTGGACTTAGCCATGTCGGTAATTGTCGACTACCTGGTTGGGGTCCGCGAGATGATAATAGTCGATTGTTAGAGACCTTGAATGACATGGCTCAAAATCGTTCTCAATGGCGCCGGTGCATTTATTCTTTGAGTTCTCTCAAATCCTAATCTTCTGGATTCTTCAACACCTCTAGTTTTGACTTTCTAAACTTTTCTCACTGAATCATACTTCTTGAATAATATCTTCTAATCCTAACCTCTCCGATTACTTCTAATACCTTTACTACCTCTCCTACTATTGGATTTGAATTGACAATTACATCTCTGTGCTAATGTGGTATGGCAACACGAACTGATGTACTTACGTACGAAGTTCTACGTTGCATCTGACTCTGACTGACTCACATTTTGATTTACCACGTATTTCTGCTTACCATGTTTGAAAGATATGTCGATCAAATACAATAGGCCTCATAAACTACTAGGTGCCTTATTATTTTGAATGTGTATGTAGAGTGCTTAGTAGTAAAATAGAAACCTAGTTCATTAATCCAATCTCAATGATATGCAAGTAAACAATTCTAAGTTTGTCAACAGTATACAAATAATTTAAAAAAACCATTTCTTAGTTTAGAGGCTTTCAAACTTCCAATTATAGGATACTAATACTTTTACTTACATTATAATAAATAATAGGTGTTTTATATCGTTTTCGCAACTTTTCTCACATCTGCGTCTTCAATTGTTATACAGTTCAAAATTCGAACTTGGATAGTCGAATGTGGTGTTTTTTGAAGGACTGGGCATTCTGGCTCTCAAAACATGGAAGATATCCTTATTTTAATAATATTGGTGAAAATTTTCAGCTGATATATAGCTACTTTTTTGTTTGCCTGTTGATAAAATTCCATACTAATATGATGTATATAACATCAATACCACATCTAATTCTGAAATTGGGGATTGTTCAAATTACCTAAATTATAAAGAGGGACTAGTCTAGTTCGTATTAGCTGCTTGGGTCTTTGAGAGTATTCATTCAGCCTTTCTGTGGTATAACACTATACTAACATAATTCTAGTTCTGGAGTTCCTAGTCTTTAGATGAGTAAAAACAAAGTTAGAGAAACCTAAAGCAGCTTGAGAATGTCTTATGTTTTGGTATTCTATTCATTGACCTAATGATTATAACGCTCTATTCACCGATATATACTATGACAGCCTTTCTCATTAAATTTGCCTCACTCTACTGGTTTTTTAAGCTAACAGCCTTCATCCAAGAGTATATTATACATTTTCTTCGAGTAAGGATCCTAAAGGTTAATCTACTCAGAAATCCTCTATTCATGTTTGGCCACATGTTTTGAACTAGTCACTTTATATCGGGATCGTACAGCATCGTTCCCTAGTTAAAGATATGAAGTCGTCTAAGTCACAGTCAACTGAAGTATTGCTCATCACTTGTTGCTTTTTTTCAAATTAATTAATGTAGGAAGTCAGCATAATTTTCTGTTTTCGATTAAATCTAATCTTATTATTAATAAATAGTAAAATAATAGTAATTGTTGCTATATCATTTTCAGTATAGATCCTGATAACTTTTATTTCTTTTAGTCTTAAACGAACTACAGATATGATGATCAGTGGTAAAACTGTATTGGTATGTGGTTATGGTGAAGTTGGAAAAGGCGTTTGTCAAGCGTTGAGAGGGTTAGGAGCTTTCGTCTGTATTTCAGAAATAGACCCAATCTGTGCACTCCAAGCTTGGTAAATTTTTAAAATTTGCTTACAATATTTAATATATCTTAAGAGTAAACTTTTGTCTCGTTGATATTTTTTTCTTCTAGTTTTTTGTTAAGGTAATTTTTATCATAAACTAATTTTTGGCAAATGGAGATTCTTTAATAATCAGCTGACCTCGGATAGCCGTTAAGTCTTTGTTTAAAACTTGGAAAAATACAACCATTTTACATCATGAAATCGGACACGACGTTCTGATCTCTTGTCGAGCACAATAATTTTAAACGATCACTTCAGAACTCAATGTTTTTATTCTTCGATACTCAGTTATTGTGCGAATGAGCTGGCTGAGTATTTTGGGGTATACTAGCGTTGTTTTTTAAATCATGGACTGATTTCTGCTATACAACCGTTCAAAATCATAAAGAAATGGACAACTGCTTAGTCCTAATATGTGACTCTTCAACAGTGTTCTTCCACGATTCCACTGGAGATCAAACCTAAAACCCTCAGGTGTTTCGCTCTTTGGATCAATGTACGCAACGCCCAATTGTGTTCAACTTTGGTCGGTTTGTTATCTCAGTAATATTCAAAAACTCCATAATGATCTTATTGACTGAAGTCAGAGCTTCAGACATGACTTCTGAATAATGTATTACGAATGCTCTGCGATGTTGAAATAATTCACATTATTCTGTAAAATTTCTCGGAATTTCTATTGATTATTGTTTTTCTGTTTATTTTTATTTCAAAGTATGGATGGTTATCGTGTTGTAAAAATTGACGAAGTTATACGTTCTGTGGATATTGTGGTTACATGCACAGGAAATAAAGGTGTCATTACTCGGGCTCATATGGATCAAATGAAAAATGGTTGTGTCGTATGCAATATGGGCCATTCTAACACTGAAATCGATGTTGTAAGTGTTTATTTACATTTTTAATTTTATTCCTGGTTGTTTATACGTATACTTTTAGGTATAAACAATTTCATTATTCTAACATTCGTATAGATGTGCATTCCATGATTTTGGTGAACAATTTGTAAATTCTATATAAATAGTTATATGATGTATTGTAACCTTTTTTCATATATTCAATTATAATATGGTAAATTATTCACTATGGAAAAATAACATTATTATGTTCAAACTTAACACGTTTCGTTATAAGTTTTCTGAATTCCTTATTCAATCAGTAATGAAATATGTTTATGTACTGCATTATTTATGGATGAAGAAATCCAGTTTGGTAGTTGTATCCTTTTGAAGTGAACGACTTTCGCTAAAATTTCCATGTCAAGGATAATTAGCTTATTGTTGACAGTGATTACTATGCAAATGTTTAAATCATTAAATTATAAATATATATTGGGATAATAAAACATTTTTTTGTACATGTATATTTCTTGCACACTATTCACATTATTTCATACATGATCATAACTAGTAACCGATAGAGTTTTTTGGTCATCGTTATCGATCGTAATCAAGATGGTCTACTGTGTCTGTCCGTTTATCCCACTAACATTTTAAATGAAATGCAGTTGAGATACCTGGGAATGCTTAGCATTTTTTATGGTAATAACTGTATCACTGTAGGCTTATGTAATTTTTAGCCTACCAAAAACTTTCAGTTAGTTTTATTATTTGATTTGGTTGGTTAGGAATACAATTTGAGCAATGAAGATTTCTTGCCAGTTAACTTCTCATCATGGCTCACAGGTTTGCCAATAAAACGTTTGTCAGTAAAGCAACCTAATAATAATATGCTGAAAGCAAGGGTTGGTCTGCTAATTCTAATCACATGACCTTTTGACCTGAGAAGCGAATTAGGCTAGAAATCTAAAAAGATTATGCATATATATGCGTATATGATCACTCGGATTTTCTTAAAAATCTATTCAAGTAGATCCCACTAAAAAAAAAAACCTTTTTTTTTAAGTATGCTGCAAAAATTCTTTTTACTATTTCACAGTAGTGATTATCGATTACAAGTTTTTATAGCTGAGTTTTTTATGTTATCTAAATTCTCTAAGGTCAAACTAGTGCTAAACACTATCATTTATAGAGTGATTTCGATTTTCTGTTGAAGAAGTATCGGTCTTTTGTTTTAGTTGACAGTATGTTTAAGAAAAGCGCTTTCTTTTACTCATTGATATGTTTATTAAATTAGTTAGAATATGTCTCTGATAAAATTTCAATAGATATATCTTAATCTATCTCGGTAGCAAAATGAGGTTATTCATATGTATATACTAGTTATGTAGTGAAATCACTTCTGTGATATGTACTGAATGATATATGATTGATAGCAAACTAAATATTTATCCGGTCTTCACGTCTCAATCTGAGATGTTTTGAAATAGAAAAATCGTATGGTTATTTTACATCTTTGTTATTTCAAACAATACTGCATGTGTTATATTTTCATAACATCTCCCATATTTGTTTCATTCTCTTTATTGTTTAGCGATCTCTTCAGACGCCTGATTTAACTTGGGAACGTGTTCGATCACAAGTGGATCATGTTATTTGGATGGATGGTAAACGTATTGTTCTTATAGCTGAGGTTAGATTATATTGCCTTTCATTCGAATGAAATGTTATTTCTGTTTTTGTGTATAATCATTTTTAATGAATCAAAGATAAATTTATATTTCTCTTTATCATTTGATATCGTCCTTAGGTTAGTCAAACCTTAGCATAACGTCACAGATCATTAATTTGATCCATTTCAGTAAATGCAGACCACCTAGTTAGTGTTTGCTCACTAACTGCAGTCAGGTGGACATATCTCAGAGTTGATTATGACGACAGAAATCCATCTACTCTGTATCATTGAATTGAATTACGTTTTTGATTATTGTTAATAACTATGATTTTACTAGAATTCATTTCTTATTTGTAATAATTATCTTGTTATTTTAAAGGGTCGTTTGGCAAATTTAAGCTGTTCAACTGTTCCATCTATTGTTGTTTCTGTTAGCGCCTGTACTCAAGTGAGTTTATGAATTGTGTTGTTCTTTTTTTGTGTTCATTATTTTAGATAGTTGCTTTTTAGTATTATTGCTATGAATACTCACAGTTGTTTAATTAAAATTTCCAATCTATTCAGTATTATTTTAATTCTAAGCAGGCATACACTGATGTAAACCTAGTCGTTATATGATATGAACAATCTTACATGTTATTTTTTCTCTCAAGAAAACGACATTTCGTCCGTAAAAAGAACTTATTCCCTAATGATAATCTTTTCCACTAAATGATACCTCATGTCACACACTACACAAATATACAAATTGAACATATCATTGTTTTGAATGTAAACAAACTAATGTGTTCTGAATATCCATAGTGTATTTAATTCAGTCTGATAGTTTAATATGCTATTCTTTGTTAGATTATTTAGTCTTGTTAGTTAGCATAGTCAAATGATTGTTTATTATTTTTCACTTATATGAAATTATCCTTCAATGTACTGTGATTATTTTAACAAAGAAATAGGGTTATGTATTTATTTATAATCTCCATCTCACAGTTGAAATTATCAAAAAAAAACAAAACAATAAATTTCCATACTTTATCCAAGAAAACTTGGTGAATCTAGTTATGTGACATTTTATTAGTAGGTAAATATAGTCAGTAAATATTGATTGTTGTGTTATCTTTAAGACATGATTATTTACTCTTGACTTGCATAATCTATATCTTGGTGGTGGTATCGATATGTTATCCTTAAAAAAAAGAACAGCCTGTGGTGCTGTGGTGCGAACTACTTATAAGTAGTATATAGCGTGAGTGTCAACGTAAAGTCTGGTAGCATAATATGGGGGTAAGATCAAGAAAGGAAGAGTCAGAAAACAATGGAATTTGTTTGAAACGCATGAAGAGTGACAATGGATTGATGTTTGGCAACAGGAACAGTCCAGTTCCATAGGATGAACTGATCCTTTGCAAATGAACGATTTACGATATGGTTTTCCGATTTTACTGAGTAACTCTGTAATTTTCGTTAAATACAATTCGGTTGCCCCACCTGTGTTCTCATTCACTACAAGCCTATTATTTTGTAAAATTTTATATTGTTAGAATGTAAGTCTTGAGGGCTTTGTTTAGCCGGATGCAATAATCAATAACCATATACAAGACATATTCTGTTGAATTATATAACGTGTAAATAATCTAAAATGTTTATTCCACTCAGATCATTTATTTCAAATGGTCAAACTTTGTGAGATAATAATAATAATAATAATAATAATGATAATAATAACCATGTATACGAATTGATTTATTATAAATTCGTGAATAACATTTCCTATCTTAACGGAATTTTTTAATTAGTTGGTTGACATTCTGAATTTCACCGTCATCTATTTTCTATGCATACATATTTCAATAAATGGAATATTTATTTGAATGTCAATATCAATTAATGTGAATAAGAATTAGTGAACTGTCAGCGTATAACATTGATTTAAGAATTTGAATTTTATTTTTTTTGTATAATAAATCTTACTTTCACAAATGCGCTGACATCTAAAAATACACTTCAAATTTATGACCTGAATAAATATAGTCATAGTTTTTTTTATACCTATGAACATGTTCATTTTAACTAGATTAAAAAAAAAAAAACGATTTCGCAAAAGAAAACACACGATGAAAATTTAACATTTTGGACAATACTGTAGAATAGATATTGACTAATGAAAATATATTATGCATGTTTCATTTGTTATTTTATATGCTGTTCGTCTGTATATATATATATATATATATATATATATATGCGTATAGCGTAGTTGTGCCAAATGCAAATCAGCTCTTTCTACTTAACTGTTCAGTTTGTTCATTGAAAGAATAAGACAAGGAAGGAATGAAATACACCGTTGTACTCGTAACATTTATTTATGCTGTGAGGTTTTCTACCCTGTGTTATGCTAATTTCATCTTATTGAATAATTCCACTCTTTTTTTTCTAGTAGTCTACATTAAATTTATGGCATATATTTTAATATCAAAATTTACAAAATTAAACAAAATGGATGTTTCCTATGTATAAAGTTTTATTTCATAACTTTTTTTTCATTGTTGAAACGTTGTTTTTTTTTTTTTTATAAAAAAATTTATTTATTTGCATAATTTTTTGGTTCAGATATTGGCTTTGATTGAATTGTACAATGCTCCTGCTGGACGTTATAAAAGCGATGTGTATTTATTACCGAAAAAAATGGGTAAGATTGCTTATTTTATTTATTGTAACTGTTCCTTTGTATTTTTGTTTTTTCTAATACTATGAAATATGAACACCGGTGGGTGCCGGCCCGGCGGTCCAGAGGTTAGTCGTTCGCGCGCAAGGAAAGGTCTTGGGTTCGAATCGTGCAAGAGTCGTGTGTGTGTGCACTGCTGATGAGTCCCATACCAGGACGAAACGGCCGTCCAGTGCTTCCAAGTTTCAAATGGTGTTCTATCAGTGGTTAATTCGTGATTTCAATGTTTACAATCATAATCTCCATAACTCCAATTAAAGAAATATGAATCATATTATCTGTTCATAAGTGTTATTATATATATATATATATATATATATATATATGACTCACTTAGGGATATATGGATAATGACCTTGGCTAAAATCGGGAATATGTCATCGACTCTGGCTGGTTATTTCGGACTAAATGCACTATCAAAGAAGCATTAAGACAAACTAGACCTAGTCTATTCTTAATCACTTGACTAATAACTGTCATTCAACAGTGTTACTGTCTAACCCGTTTCGATCTACTATATTACGTGATCACCATCAGTTGTCTTCGGTGGATAACTGCCTCAAACATGACACAGTTGAACTCCATTAGTCTCGGCTTTTCACTAGAACTCAGAGAATTTCCTCACAAACCTAGCCGACTCAATGGTCAAGAGGTTACGCGCTAGCCTGCGAGGCTGGTGCCCTTTGGTTTCATTCCTGTTAATGAGGTCGTCGATGCTCATTGCTGATGAGTCCCATACTAGGACGAAAGAGCTATCCAGTACTTGAAAGTATCCAATAGTTGTCTCACATTGATCAATTCATGATTTCGATATTCACAAATAAGTAGTTGCATACTGTCCTCGTTATAACATCGAAAATGGTTATATATTTTTACAAGTTAGGATACTTTGAATGCTTGCATGATTTTTAGCTTTTTCTGTGCACATTATTATTGAACTCAAAATAAGATTTTTACTCCTTCATGACTATTTATGATGCATTTTTTTGTTTACGCATTTATATACTTATCAATATTATCATAATAATAATTATTGGTATTATTATTATTATTGTTATAGCTTATTCTGCCTTCTCTCTTTTCGAGGACATAATTTTTTAGGATAAATAACTCATTAGGGTGTTGTTAGAATGTTTTTTTTTCTCAGTGTAACTTTTCAGTGATTTTTTTTTGTTTTTTTCATTCATTTTGCAAGTTCATTCTTTTGTTTTTTATATTTTCGAGAATAAATAAAAGTTAATTGTTTTTGTTCACATGAAAGCTCCTTCATAATTGTGTGTTGTATTGTTTGCTTAAAAAAAAAAAAAAAAAAAAGAAAATGTTAATGTAAATTAGGAAGTTAGAATATGCAATTCAATGTTCAATTTAGTTTGTCCTCCTTTTTTTTTTTTCTCATTTTTGTTTCATTTCACAAAATTTATCAATTTTTGTTATTCTATATGTTTCTTCATTATTGGTTTAAAAAATAATTTAGTTTCACTGTAACCATTTTATAAATTCTTCACAGTGTGTTAGGCAAGCGTTATTAGATAGCTTAATCACCTCAGTCTGTGGGTAGATTCACTATATTTCTGATCTAGATAGTTTAATTTGAAGTGCTTGTATTGTCATTCTGACCAATATCATCAGTGCCTAGTTCATATAGAAGTGTAAACAATTATGAACGTATTATTCCTCCTCATTTTTACTTTTCTTGTGTTAACTCTATAAATATTATTGTTATTCTAAAAAGCTTTCAGTTGTTTGTTTACATTGTATTGACTGGACCATTTTTAATGTTTTAGATGAGTATGTAGCAACATTGCATCTTCCACTATTTAATGGTCGAATAACCGAACTCACTGATGAGCAAGCTCGATATTTAGGTGTAAATAAAACAGGACCATTTAAACCAAGTAATTATAAGTAAGTAAATATTATGAAGTTTTTTGTTTTTATTTATTCATTATTAATTGCATATTGTTGAAGTTGGATGAAAACTGCATGTATTCAGATTAAGGAATATTAAAGAATAATATTATCTTAAAACACTGATGTACTTACCATAAACCTGTTTTTCTTACATCTCTATACCCATCAGAAAATCAACCAACATTGATTGAGAGTGTTTTGAAGTTCTAGAGTATCTTTTCTAATTTTTTCTGAGGTTGAGTATATAGGTCTGGTGAATTATCTTTAACTATAAGAAGTGTTGTTTTCACTAATATTGTTAATATCCTTGGATAGAATTGTATTATCTAAGCTTGGTGTTTTATTCGGTTCACACTAATAAAGGCGCAAGCGAAATATTGACTATCAAAATTATGCATATTAATTCAAGTAATAATTATGAAAGAATGGCAGTTTTGATGGTGTGAAATTTGTTCAATTTACCTTTTATCCTTTTGCCATACGACCAATCAAAAACGTATTTTTCTAAACATGTGAGGAAGAGTCTACAATACTGTAATTTTTTGAATCTATTAACAAATAGTCATTGTTATCACACTGGTCATATGATCTTTCCAACAACTAAAGGATAGTCTATTTAGAGGGATAGTTCGGAAATTCTTGAGAAATTTTTTGAAGAATTTTACTTTGAATAAGTTTTAAATACTTGAAAATGTCTTTATTTTAAAATTCAGATGCCAGGCTTGGCAGTCTTCATTACATATATTCCCGAAAGCATCGTCTTTACGCTCTACAGAGAAGCTTAATTAACTTTATCATGACTATTATTGATTTTAATGATAGAGAGTCCAATGACTATGTTTTGTATATTATTTGATTAGATTAACACGTTGAACATATTAAGTGGATCTCATACACTTATTGTGATTAAGATTCAGCACATGTCGGATTATCATTTATTGTAGTTAAAACTGTACTCAGATTTTCATGTGACAGACTAAAACGTTTAAACAGTTTTTTCTTCAACTTAGCTTAAATTACAAATCCAATGACATTACAACAATATCTTACAGATGATTAGGTCTCAAGTGTAGTGTGCAAAAGCGTTACGTCAAGCTCTTATCGCGTCATAACTCTACTACCTAATCTTCCACACACAGTCCATTGGTTATTGAAACTTTATGCCAATGCTGTAGTCATTTGTTATTATCACATTAAAGTTCTTAATTTATTCTTCATGTTTCTCATACTTTCTAACTGAATAATTATATTTCATACATATCGTTTTATCTTGTTATTTTTATTTTACCTTTCTATCAATATTTTTGTCTTGGAAATTTTGGACTACTGTTCATATTCTCCTACAAAGTGTATGGTAACAGGCGTAATTAGTTAGACGACATAAATATTTAGAATTTGAGCCATGACTCCCAGAGATTTTTTAATACAATACAATAATCGAAGCAGTATATTTGAACTGCAATCAAATATTTTATCTTGAAATTAAAAGAAAATACAAATTTATTTAATATATCGATACATTTTCATGGCAAATACTTATTCGTAATCAGGTTTATGGCCTTTACACGAATAAGATGATAGCAATGACATTTCAACAAATTAAAGTATAGTAGACTCATCCTCATATGTCTAGAAAAATATGTCACAAGGCGACGGGACAAAGGGTAAATCAATCAAAAATGTCACTCCTTTATTATGATTACCTTAATTAATATGCATCCTTTTACTTGCACCTTTTTAAATGAATACCAGTTTATTCATTAGGCTTCTGCTTTTTTTAGATAAGGGAAGTGTGGTTTGTGTATCTCTTTACATGTGACTACTAACAACAAGTTCTGTCGTTCTTTGAATGGATTAGTTGTGGTTGTTGGCTCTTATTCTTCATTACCTGGATATTCATCGTGATTACCTTCCTCTTTAATCTTGTTCTAGATTCTTTGTTTGTTTATGATTAGGTCCAGTTTATAATTTTTACTGTCATAAGTGCCGGTTTACCGAAACACCATTGTTTTTTGTTGTTCCTGACCAAAATCTTGACGTTTTTCCGGTGTAACATGTGTCCTCACTTATCTATGTATTATCTAAGGTATGCCTTTGTAAACAGTCTCTGGGAATGTTTCTTTATTTTTCTGTTGCTACACTGGTGCTACAGTGTGTCTGAGCTATTTTCAACAGAGTTAGTACGCATTCGATTTTGTGAATTATTGGCACTGTAGTTCAGGACACAACTTGGGTGGATTGGCTTCTAATACCGTGATTCTCCACTTTTTCTATGTTGGTTCAAGTGACTTAACCTCAAAAATGGTAGTTTGTTGTTTGGGTTCGTGTTTAATTTGAACTTTTTTGTCGTTAAAATCGTTGTAAATCAAATTGTGGACACTTTGCTGCTTGTTGTTTTTGATGAATGGTCTACACAGCCGATCAACATGTTTAGCTTGAATACTCTTACTTGAAGTTTGAGCTGATGATTTTATCTCGATAGACAATAAGCTTTGTAATGACTCTCCTAATTCATCAAGACCATAACTAAGTATTATGTTCATTTTCACGTAATTCCAGTGAAAATCTATATACTTTTCATAGCACTGACAAAAATATATTTGTTACCCTCAGTAACGTTTCGCGCATCTACGTGTGAATTTGCTGTGCTTGATATATTTATTCATTTCATTTTATCAGATATTTAACCAAATTATAGTTTATTTTGATATATGTTTATTTTATTTTAGATACTGAACTTGTTCTCACTCGTCGTTTCTGTTCATGCAATGATTGCTGTTATATTCATTTGAAAATGTCTTCCTGTTTATAGTTTAGCACATATGTGTTGCATCAATTTGATTTCTATAAAAAGTGTATTAGATTGTTACATCTAACGTGCTCTAAATCAATATACTGAATAATGAACATTTTATCATCTTACTTTGTTTACTCTCATATTTTTTTTATTTACATTCCAATAATTAATTTGTATAAGAGTTGCTTTGCATTATCTAGTAAATAATTAATTTTGATTTATATACATATATATTAGTTTGGTGAATTTTCACAATCATACTGTTTTCTGCTTCATAAATACACTAGTTTATCATAGTTATCGAAACGTTAATCATTTCAGAGTGTTTACCTTAAGCTTCATGCTGAGTAACATATTGTCTTTCCTCAAATTGATTTTTGTGGTAATATCATCTTGTATTCTTTTGAATGTAATTTCTCTTGCTCTTACTAGTATTGTTCTTTTTTAATTAGACAAGCATGAATAATTAATTCATTATTGCGGTTATTCTGGTTGATTTGTATTTCTTTACTATGTATTATTTTTGTATTCTTTTCCGTAATAACCTGTCTTGCAATTTTCATTGAAATATCAACTTTTTTCATTCTTAATATACAGCGTTTTGTTTAACCTTTTGTAGAATATAGAATGATAGTTATGTATAAATCCTGTCGTTTGTTTCGTCTATATCATACTTGAATCCTTTTCATTTATTGAAAATATGATTCTGCGCACATTCGCATTAAATTCATAGTAATTGCAGTAAGAACTTACTAATTTATTTGTATCCGCATATTCTTGGAGATATGTAACTGTAAGAAATTTGACATTAATTAATTTACAGTGTTGATATTTAGATTTTATTTATTTTGAACTTGATGATTTTCAGTCAGCTTACAACAAGCGACGCCGATTGTGTTAGACAGTTTGCTGATATGTCATGTGAACGCAACACTAAGGAGCAGTTGATATACTTTTAAAAGTATTGGTTATATACTCGTCTGCCAAATAATTATGAGATAGTTCCATGTCTGGTGGTTGGTAGTAGAATTCGGATATTAGCTTGTTCAATTACTTAACTGTGCAAACATTATGATGACAAGTATTTCAACTACACATTTTCAAATCTAGAATTAGTATCCCAACTTCGTCATATGAACTAATAATCCATTGATAATTTTCCCAACAACAACATTGCTTACTCATTGGTCCCTGGATATATGAGCAATGCTTCGAAGACGACACCTATGATCGAAAACCAGTAACCAATGAATATCCTCTACTCTTACTGACTATATTTCACACCGGTATAGTAGGACGGATAGAACTGCTGTGCAATAGACTCTCCCTTTGGTTACCAAAAGGATATCACGCCTACGCCATAGGTAACGCAAGCTGGCAATAGCTAGCAATCCATGCTGAGATTTTGTCACACACCAGGCCATCAATACTGATGAGACTCGAGATAGGTGAAGCGAACAACAAGTTCAAACACTTCACTTCCTATTACCAGTTCAGATGCCGTTACAAGACAATCCTGAAGCGACATTTTGGATTTTGAGGGAGAGAGTCACATTACGAACATGCTTGCAATGTTGCTAAGGCTAGTCGGACAGCTCTGCATTTTGTCTGCCTCTCCACCAAACACTATACCATCGATCTATTCTTCCGGTAAACGACGGAAGAGTCATCTCTAAAAGTATGTCGGTGAAGTTTAACAAGAATGAAGAAAGCAGCCAGACCTGAAGGATACAACTATTATCTAAATTCAAAATATGTCCATGTTCTAGGAACCAACGAAGTGTCAATATCTGCTATATACTTCCACATGCTGGTATGAAGCCACCCCTGAAAGTCCAAGACGTTAGCTTGTCAAGTATTGGTTCTTTTCCCCGCCCCGAATTATCTATCGACATTCAAGCCTTAGCTAGAGTTAAAGTTGTTACATCAACTTGTCATCCAGGCTAACTGCAGCTAGAGGGTGACCGAAGTGTGGCTCTGACCCTGTCGAACCACGCACTAAAATGCTCCGTTCAGGTCGAATCGCTTGAGTTATCTACACCTAATAGCATTATGTTCCATTGACGGAATTTTTATTTTTCCAACATTGCGTAAATCTGTTCCTGTCCATCCACATGGTAGAAATATGGGTTTTATGCAAACAAGGTCCATGGTAATTTGGGTTAAATTTCGATTTTTTGATTACAGCGAACAGTTGTTAACGAAGAAAGAAGTCACAAAATCACCGCTAAATGTGGACTCATTGATGTGTATATTCTGACACATGGCAGGTTCTTGTTTTTCATTTATCGTCATTGGCTGTTTCCTAAAATGGCCCGAATTTTTGCCACAAATATACAGTGAGATCATAGAAAAACACCGTTTTTGATCATAAGGCTTATAAAACATGAGTTGATAATAATAGATCTGCTATATATTTGGGTGCAGTATGTAAATGATTGATTGGTATGTGGTTGGAGTATCTGCACATTACTCTGTTACACTCTTATCACATTTTGCAAGAAGAAAATCGGTTCTCATTTCAGCAAATGATGGGCTTCAGTGATTTGTTGATATATCACTACAGCAATAAAAGAATACAGGAAGTTCGTTATCAAAAAATATTTCACCAAACATATTGAATGAAGAATAAGGCTTCTGAAAAATATGTGTTTAGAGTTTTCTAGTGTAGAAATGATCTTAAATCGTCCACAGTGATGTCGAAAAATCTGTCGTTCGAATAGCGGATCCCATTGGTTCAAGTAGATGCAGCCGACATTTGAATAAATTACCATTCCAGAAGCCTGAAATCGCTAATTCCATTGCTGGAGTGTATATTTTAGAGTATTCAGACCATACTTGATCCAAAGCTGGACAAACTGTAGATGGGTAAACTGTGTAACAAATCACGAAAATCTGAATTCTAATTTAGGCAATGATGGGCGTAGCAGTTGTTTTGATTGGTGATTTACTTGTTTAATGTGCCGTAGCATATCCGAATTTTCAAAACATTACTTCAGAATCAGCACATAGGGTACTCTCTTATTTGTATGCTTGTCGCACACATAAATATCAAAGAACGTATTTGATTGTAGTAAGTATTGCCAGTTGGTTTGCAGTATATCATTGCTATTGATAATCACAAAAAGATTTTTCGAAAAAGATCTCTTTCATATCATGAGAAACAGAAAACAGGAATTGTTTCTGGTACTCAGCGCCTATGCCAAATTTTTCTGAAAGAGCTGAAAATTCTGCAGTTTACCCACTTCTTAATCTTTGGTCACTCACATTACAGAGGATATTTTCTCCTGCATACGTTGAGATTAACCATTGTGGTTAATAGATCACTGTCCTGGTGATAGTGATTCGATTTCCTGTCGACACTGGCTCAGAAATTAGTGTGCTCCTGGTAATTGCAAACGATTGTTCACATGATATAGTATTTATTCTGCAGGCGGTAAACCAATCGTCACTTACGACAAAATGTTATTTTATCTGATGACGGGTTTACGCAAACCGATTTTCTACGTTTTCACTCTATATGTCTTGACAGTACCAATCGTTGTTACAGACCTGTTAGAACACCATGGCCTACTCGTCGGCCCATGAAAAAAGCAGTCATCAGACGTTAACACTAGGTTACCTGTTTACTGAGTTTCATTCTCTGTTAAGGATAAACACACAACCTGCCACTATTTCCAATGTGTGTAAGCTGCAATTTTGCACGTCATTTCACCAGTACAGGAACATAGGTATTCTCGAAATCCCTGTCATAAGCCGCGAAAAGCTGAAACTGGTCAGATGGTAAGTTCAGGGATTATGAGGTCATCGATCGGCCTGTTGGCTCTCTTGTTGCACACAGCAACGATAAAGGACATCAGTGGTATCCAACTCCTATGCCTGTGGAAAAAATTCAGAAATCAGCTTTCTTAACTTTCTTTCAACTCTAAAAATTTCGCATATGCCTTTCAGGTTAAGGAATAGTACTAAAACGTTTGAACGGTTTATTCCTGACGCTGTTAGGTCTCAGATCTTTACTCGCTTATGTTGACTGATGTCTAATATCATGTCTAGATTGTGGACTAGTTTCTCAATGACTTCAAGGACATGAAAATACAGTTGGCATTGAGAAATGTTAGATTTTAACAGACGCGTTCGATTTCCTTGAGCGTATTGTAGTCAGCTAAGGTAATAACCCTCGGGAAAATAAAGTGGCAGCTATTATGGAACCAAGAATAGCCAGACAACTGAAGGGTCATACCTAATTGCGCATCTCTCATGAGATATTAGTATCACATAGCGGCAACTGACTCAAAAACCGGAGAAGCGGTATGTAGCAACGTTAGCATCATGAAGGTTGATGTATATTATTTTCGATAGCTGAAACCTAGCTACGATGGACCCTGTAATTTTCACGAACCAAAGTACTACATCATTCATAAAAACTGAACGCCAAAATCTGTATTGATCAGCCGATAGGCCCTTACTAATACGGAAACTTCTCCATAAATTTCTTGAAACAAGGACATACTCCCATGAATACGATGTAATCTCCGAAACGTAAAGGCCACTGCAAACTTCAATGGCATATAGAATGCGATCTAAAACAACGTGATCCTGAAGAACTGTGACCTTTTGAGAGTATTTAGACGACCACTGCGTGTGGAAAATTCTAAAAGCGTATCCCTTCTCAAGATCTTGATATTCGACAACTTGTCATTCGTATTTTAGTATTTTATTGCGCTCATATATTTTATGCTGACGTATGTATGTGTAATATTTGAAAATACTGAGGAACATTTTGTGGGCAGTATTTCTCGTTGTCGCTTGATAAACATAAACCACTATATCCCGGGTTTTTACGTAAGTTCCATTCGCTTTCACAGCTGCGATTGTAATCAACATTTAGAAACAATGTTGATTTCCTGCTTTTTTTTTTATCTATGACGACTTTGAAATACAAAAAGCAGAAGACGAACACACTCCAGTTGAAGGCGCTCAGTCACGTTGTTGTAAAATCTGTTATACGCACCACTTGAATTCTTTAGGAAGCCTGAATAACTCAGTTTGCGGCATCAAGCTTATCTTTAACAGGATCATTAGAGAAATGCCAATATATCAGACATCAATATATTTCTTAGATTCTCATTAGTAGACCTTTAAAAAACCGACATTTAAGCTTGGTTGGTTATGGGACCCCTTGAATGATTATAAAATGAACTATTGGAGGATTTCACGATTTCGATTATGATTATTATATTTCCTCTTTATTGTCGATGGCTGATTCTTTTAAACATCTCAAGATTTGTGACCAAATCAAAGAGAAAGCAAAGTGCTTCTCTAATCTTATTTAAAGATAAGGATGTATAGTTTTCACAAACAATATGAAATGCTGCGTAATACATGTTACGAAACTGTTTTTCAGACGGCATATTTGTTGTAAATACATGGCACTATATCCTACATAGGAACTGATAGAAGTATTAGGCGATAGTCACATAATGAATTGATATCTAAATTTATATTACAATCGATTTGGATGTAAATAGATTACTGATGAAATAATTATACAACTGTGTCCAATAAATGTCTCGAACTTGCTATTTGTTATCATTGCCATCTCCTCAGATCACTTACTTAATCTATCTCGCCTCTCATCTCTGTTCACTGCTCCTTGCTTACACTACGTTACTCTCTCACAATCTTCACTAATAATTTATAAGCTAACTTCATCTGTTTACTTAGTTCTGAAATTTTATTCATATTAGCATTAGAATCTTATCCTTATTATACTTATTACTCTCCATATTACAACTAACTGATCGCCGGTCTGGTAATGTGATGGCTACTGGTATCCAGAAACCCTCCTGCCCTGAATCAAACGTTTTCATTCAAATCCCGAGACATACAAACTCACAACCAACTGCCAACTGACAAGAATAAGACAGTCGAGTGGCTAGACCTCCATCCATTGGACAATACTGAACTATGATAATTAGAAGTATTTGTATTTAAGTATCGAGAACTACGAGATGAGCACAAACGAATGTACTGTATTTCGAATTCGAAATCAAGCATTCAACAACAACCAAGAAGTCACTAGTTCATTCAAACACCACATGCGAAACAGCTTAAATTGGAATCCAAGTGTCTGTAATCAATTGTACGTCTTCTTCTCAAATTCATCCTGTGTCTGTCCGGCAGTGTATCGGATAAATACTCTGTATTATCTAGAATGCTCTCATTAGTATTAGAATTAAGAACCGAAATCCAATGGGGTTTCCCCGCGCAGGTTCATATCCTGCTCGCGACGACAATATGATAATTGGAAGTATTTGTATTTAAGTATCAAGAACTACGAGATGAGCGCAAACGAATGTACTGTACTTTGAATTCGAAATCAAGCATTCAACAACAACCAAGAAGTCACTAGTTCATTCAAGCACCACACGAACAAGAATCAAGCGCAAAGAAATCAATTGGTTTACACCAGCTCGTGAAAAAGATATTGGATATTGGAACTCACAACCAACTGCCAACTAAGTAGAATCTGTTTAGTCAGGTGTCTAGACCGCCATTCATTGGACACTACCAAACTCCTAGAACCGTACCAAAAGGACAAGAATGGAGCGCAAAGAAATGAATTGTTTTTTACTAGCAAGTGAAAAAAATGTTGGATATTGTTTTAACAAACTGATGCATTTGAATCCTTAGGGTCGTCTAGTCGGTCGGGAATTGATTGCGGGTTGGTTTTAATACCACTATTTCTCTTTTCATCTGAAACACTTAAGTATGTTGCGTGTACATTGACTTGCATAGTATAAAAAAACAAATCTAGTTGTTTGGTAAAAGTAATGAAATCATTTAAAACTTAACTTACGGGATTTCAGCACATTGAATGAATAAGCACCGTAGAAGCACTGCAAAACCGGTGGAGTCTTACAGAAGCAGATAGGCTATCAGACTTAACGTACGAAAACGTTGAAAGTGATAATTCTGGCCTAATTCATGTATGCCTCAAATTCCCGTGTCGTAAATCTCGTAAAACCTGAGTCGAGATTACTTATAGTTCCGATCTCTCCTTCAAGAGTTGGCCTAAACGGTGTTTTTGCGCTCACTCCTTGTATCTTTGATATTGTCTCAGGCATAAGTTTATATGTAATCAGTGGAAGTCCAGACTCAACTGCAACAGTCCTAGTCATTTCGGTAGTTATTCGTGCATTGGTATGCTTTGTAATTCGGGTGAGTTTATCTCAGTGTAGTAGAGTGTCAGCATACCATTACCTATGACATTGCAAGGTTGGTAATCTAGTTATGATGTTGAAAATAAGAAAATACTAAAATGTAAGACACGAATGTTCCAAGAGCTGGGTACATGTACTAATTAGTTAGTAATGAATACATTGTAATGGCGCAAGCGCATTCATTCTTTGTGTTCTCTCAAATCCTAAACTTCTTAGTTCCTCATCAGTTTGTCTTTTTCTTCTTAAGTTTACTTCACTAGATTCTACTTCTTGAATAATGTCTTGAAACCCTAATCTCTCTGATTACTGCTCATACCTTTATTATTATAGGATTTGAATTGACAGTTACATCCTGTGCTAATGTGGTATGGCGACTTTAACTGAGGCACGTACGTATGAAGTTCTACATTGCTGTTGATTGATTGATACAGTGTAACAGGGCCGAAGCGTAAGAATAAAAGACCTAGCAAAGTTGGTGTTGGGCGTTAGTCAATGATATGTGATGAGGAGAAGATTAGACAGTTATGAAACATGTGCTAAGCACTTCTCGTTAAAGCGAAAGTCGGTAATCTATTGGTATGTACTTGTTAAGTCTCCTCTTAAGACTACCAACTTTGGAGGGTATAGTCACGTCGTTTGAGATCATCCCAAGCGGTAGCAACCCCTAGTGAGGAGTGAGAACGTGTCTGGGTTTCCTCTCTTTGATGTGCAGTTTTTCAAAGGGGCGCTGCAATGTCCCAGTCTCCGATCTTAGGGGGTTTTCGCGATGTAGTTCATTGGCTCTTTCCTAAATTCGTTACAACTTTAGAAGAAGATTCTGAGTTTTCACCAAAATCTTGACATTAGGCTTATGCTGCATCTAGCATGTTCCGAGGCTTAGCTTACGTTTCGAACCATCATAGAAGCCTAAATTTAGAAGCAAATTACCAATTCGAGAATTTTTCGAATGTTGTTAGTTACCAGCCCTTAACAACGGAATCAAGCATGCTCCGTCTGTGTTTGGAAAGTTGATGCTGTGATTTCTGATTTGAACTACACAATATTTTAACTGGTTAGTTAAAAATGGAGTAGTGACAAACCTCAGATAGATGTCAACAACGTAATACCGTATGTGTAGGTCCGTGGTACTATTTTATAAAAGAACAGTAACATGTTTAAAATAGTACTAACTAGTGAGTCATCAGAATGTGCAAATAAGGCATCAGAGTACAGGATAGTACAATGCTTAAGATTTGTGATAATACGAGTGGTTCCTTCTTACTGACATACCCTGGAATTAGTTGGATAATACTAACTATTTACCCTATACTTTCAATTCTTCGTTATCATTTTCTTTCATTGCAATATAGTTTTCGTGTTTAGCTCTCCATTATGAATAATACTGTCTCTCCTTCTTGTTAACTTTCTCTCACCATGCTGATGTGATGGCTTAGATTAATATGTATTCACCAAGAGTCACACACTAAATAGCTACACAGACATCTAAGTCAGTAAGAGTCCGTAGTATCATTGATTTCCCTAGTCCTAGTATTCCCAACTTTATAGTCCCAAAATAATCATGAAACGCTTAAACAAACCATCAAGTACTCGCAAAACAAGTCTTCAACTTCTCATATATCGCAGCAATAAATATGGAACATACTGGTGCGGACGATTTTTGCGCATTCGGCTCTAAAGAAAGGTACTTCACAAATATAAACACGGATAAATTTTGTGGTGTACTTAGAACGAATTTCAGTGGTGAAGGTAGTCATTTTTACTGTTTAGCAATAATTTCACCCCATGTACTTCGCTAACCATAATTTTTCTAATTGTTTATTTTACCTTCTCGGGACATCACCTAACGATATACTATATTTGCCTGTGCGACCCAACTTGTTCACCGTAATTTGCTTGTAAAACTCCGTAGTAGCTTCCTAATGTTTCCGTACAGTATTTTGCTTTTACTCATTTTTCTGCTACCGTATCGTTCACGGCCGACAAAGCAAATATGTAGATCTAGCAATGATGGTGGAAAAGGCTGCAAGAGAAGGAAACTTCAGACAGTTGTGAGATACAACAAAGGAGCTCGCTGGAAACTTTCGTTGACCAGAACGACCAGTGAAAGGCAAAGTGATCAGCAACACTGAAGAACAGCGAAATAGGTGGATAGAGAACTTAGATCGACCAGCCCCACTGAACACACCCAACATCGAACCAGCATCTACGGACCTTCCAATCGATGTTGGCCCACCAACAATTGAAGAGATCAGTTTGGCCATCAGACAGATCAAGAGCGGCAAAGCAGCAGGACCAGACAACATTTTAGCAGAGGCAATGAAAGCAGACGTGGTAGCAACTGCAAAACTACTCCGCATTTTCTCCAGCAACATTTGGGAGGAAGAACAAGTACCAAGAAGCAGGAAAGAAGGATACCACAGAAAGGCGATCTCAGCAAGTGTGAGGACTACACAGGCATCACTCTTCTCTCAATACCAGGCAAAGTCTTCGACAGGGTATTATTAAACAGAATGACGGGCTTCGTAGACGCCCAACTTCGAGATCAACAGGCTGGATTTCGTGGGGATCGATCGTGTACCGACCAAATTGCAAAATTACGGATCATTGCGGAACAGCCAATTAAATGGAACTCACCACTCTACATCAACTTCATTGACTACGTGAAAGCATTCGACAGCGTGGACAGAACAACACTAAAGAAGCTTCTTCGATAGTACGGCGTGCCCGAGACGATAGTCAACATCATACGGAATTCTTATGATGGACTACACTGAAAAATCGTACATAGAGGACAACTGACAAGCTCGTTCGCGGTGAAGAGCGGTGTCAGACAAGGTTTCTTACTCTCACCCTTTCTCTTTCTCCCGGTGATCGACTGGATTTTGAATACGTCAACACTTCAGATGAAGCACGGGATACAATGGACAGCTTGGATGCATCTAAACGATCTGTCTCTGCTACTGCGATACATGTAAACTCCACGCTTTTCCATCGTACTATTGAGACAGCTAGCATTGGTCAACATAGTAAAGGGCTATGAAACAAATTTAGATCTGGATCCACAATTGCTTAGTTTTCCTTTGTACACGACCTCTAAATTTATAAGCTTGCAAGTTGTATATAAATAATAACTAAACATGTACTTTTGAATATCTTGAGTAGTACATGAAAGTTAATTCTCATTTGAGCACTGAGCATTTAGTCACTAGATTACTAGCTCATATCCCTTCAGGTCTATACAATGAGTTCTTGAATATATTAGCCCCAAACAAATGATGTTTTTTATAGTATTAGAACCTGCTCTTACATACACAAATTTATTTATTCAATTACTTTCACTCTAGGTAATGCCCACTCAACATTTGGAAGATTCGACTGTAAATGAGTTAGAATTCGAGGTAGAAAACATATTAGATATGCGTACTATTAATGGAGAGCCAGAGTACTTGATCAAATGGAAGGGACATTCTCCGTAAGTAGTAATTGTATTTCAAAATGACCATCTAGTTCAAAAAATACGTGGGAACCGCAGTCCAACTTGAATTGTCCAGTTCTGCTGAGGCGTTTCCTCGATAAACATGCAGCCATTGAGCCAACAGTAGCCACTATCGTAAGACTCAATATTTTTGATAACATATTTGCAGCCTGAAGGTGCAGAACCGTACGGATTTGACCGTGGGCTAGCACCTGACTTTATCAATATGGTTACTAAGAAGGATAATGAATTGTACTTTCTGATTAAATGGTAATGAAATGCTTCCATTACTTATCAGTAAAACACTAGGAAAGGAAGTCAAGTGCGTGATGTCGTACCGGCTGCTCAAGCAAACATCCGATGTCCACAAATTGTTATCAAATTCTACGAAAGTATCTTGCATTTTACCTGAACGAACTGACTTAACTAACTCATTAAAGATGTAGCAAAGGTTACTTTTTATCATACTGTTTTATGTTTGAAAAATAATCAGATCAGATATTCTGTACAAAAATCACAAAGGTATACAAGATAAATTAATCTGCTGGATATTAAGAGCATATACTTTCTGACAATTGTTTGTGAGGTTCTGTTTATCTCTAAGCTTGACTGAAATGGGCAATGAGATCATCCTTTTCTTGAGTGGTCATCTCGTGGACAAGTACAGCATTTTCCTTTGCAAGCTGTCTTATCTGTAAAAAAGGGGAGAAAGTAGTTTAACTACCTAAACGGTCCTGAAAAAGTTTCAGCGCAAATTATTAAGACTACATTCGTGAGTATCATTAGTTATGAAGATTCAAACACATGCAACGGACGATGCTACTCAGAGTTAACATTCGTGACGCATTAGCTGAATATAGTTTGCCATTTACTAAAGCGTGGAAAAGGATTTTTCTCTACGGATTGATGCTTTCATGGATATATTGTCACTACTGAAGGTGCCATTATCTATAGGGTTTGAACACTGCCACTAAGAACCTATTTTGCATTTGAATGATGAAGATTGTTATGTTCCTTATTGCAAGTAGTCCGCATATATCAACTAACAAGTATCATTAACGTTACAGACCGATTAAAATTTCAGTTCTTTGCTAACGAATAAATATAGAACTTGTCTACTGAGGGTTGAAAAAAATTGTCCAGACACACCGTAAACAGATAGAGTAGTTCAAACTAAAAAACCTATTTTGGTTAAGACAAATTTAAGAACCAAATTATGAAAGCACAAAAGGAATGCTGACAAAATGGGAGTGATACTGTTATTCACAGGTAAAAGCGGTGGCACAGTAGTTAAGGAGCAGCTAAGTCACGGGTTCAAAACTCCCTTCATCTATTCCAGTTTGACGACCGGGTAGCATAACTAGCTAGCGTATCGCTCAAAGCCCAGTACACTCATCTGCATCAGTGAAATGGGTCAACAGAAACAGGTAAGAGCAGCGAAACTAAGTACGACACCTTAATCTCCAGTAAAATTTAACATACTTCATTAATTTCAGAAATATCCACCAGTGGCGCATCTATGATTGACGCAGGATTCCCGAATGTCCTTGGCAAAAATACTGGCAACGGTGGTGGGCCTAAAGGCTGTCGAGCTATATTTTCCCTAAAATTTAAAAAGAAGGAGTTAGATACTATAACTCTGAATTGGGTGTCAAAAAGAGGCGTGCCAGAAAGGGACAACGTAAACAATGTTTATAGATGAAAAGCATGGGAGATAACTGCTTAATAGAGGAGAAAGGACTGAACACATCGCTTTTGAACAAACATTTTAGACTTGCAGCAGCTTTAACAGTGGATAAGTTTTATTCTGTTTCACAAAAAGAATACGTTTGCCCTATGGACTCGATCTAGTAGTAGTAACTGCTATCTAAATTTATGCAACTAACTAAAAGTTAAGGTACACGTCTTCTTAAAGTCACACTTTACCCGCTTAAACCTGCAATTTAATGATTGAAAGTCAAGCATCTCAATTATTAAATTACTTGTAAAATTGGAAATTTTTTATTTGTGTTTTCTAGATACGGCACATAATTTCTGTATGTTATGAAGATAAATAACATGAACAAATATATAAATGATCGTTAAACCATAAATGGAATATACCGGTAAACTCAATGTTTTTTTGAGTTTTAGTATGTCATTAGCTGTGTAAATGTTACTCATTAACGTTTCGATGCTAACAATCTCATAAAATAACCGGAAACTTACGCATAGTATCTTGACCGTTCAATATGCTCTTGTGAATCTAGAGGATTGTAATCTGTTGCTCCAGCATCCACCACTTGACTAATAAAAAGTCAGATGAAATAAAATCAGCAAGTGGTATTAAATTAGCACATGATTTTGGAATTAAAAGAAAACGTTGTTTCTATCATAAAGCATCCAATTTTGAGACGTTCCAAATGGCTACACTTAGGCGGCAGGTAATGTAGACTGGTCAAAGAATTCATAAAATGATACAATTCTATCAGCTATAAGTATTCAAAGCTTGTTTGGGGAACTTGTGGTATTTGATTGCCCAAATTAATCTTGTAAAGTCAATACGATAACGCACATGATAAAATACACTTAACAATTATTCCTGAATATTATTCGGTCTTGTCGATGACTTCTAAAATAACTTTCTGGTCACCCCAGGTTTTTCTGTGTGAAGACGTAGATCTCGTGCATCATCAGTGGGCTCGTACAAGTGAATGTCTTGAGTACTTTAGAAAATATTGTTCGAAAATATGATGGTTACCACAAATATTTTACAAAAGAAAAATTTTCCAGTCATGTGTATTTTAATTCATCGGTTAGCAGCTAAAAAATTGTATTATTTAGATTAAGCGTCATGTGTACTCTTATAAATTATATTGAAGTGGGATTTTAGGATGGTTTGTATCCTCTTCCTTCCTACGTTTTTTGCGACTAAGTCCTCAAATAGTGCATTTTAAAAAGGAAAAGCTAATTTAATTGCTACAGTATATGATAATGAATTCTAATTACCTGGTAACTCAAGGACTTCAGCAACTGCTAAACAGCAAACAATAGGTTTGTTATAAATGAAACTAGTATTTATAAACTTTCGCCATTATCAGTACATACAGGAATGAATCAATTGGTAGTATTAATCACTTACTTTTCAGCAACTTTTATTATATTTGTCATCATTGTATTAATATCTGACTGAGGTTCATTTGTAGCAGGATCTGGAGATGAAAAACTGTAATTTAGAAAGAAGTAGACAGTCGAACATTAACTTAAAATAATTACAAGCTATGATTTTACGTGTAACCTTTATAGAAAGTTAGTCCATAAAATATTTCGAGCTAAATACCAAAGGGAGACTACAAAATGGATAGGTGGGTTTAATACCAGTAATCCGAAGCTCACTGCGACGTTAGAATGTACAAGGTTGATTATGACCGATGTGCCATGAGTGTCCAACCTCAGAATTTGTATTAATGGATTCTTAAATGGTATACACATTGAAGTGCACATAAGCTGAGACGAGATTCCATTTAGAAAGGCGTGCTTACAAACATTAAGTAAATACACAGACAGTAGACGGATGAATGTCCAATTAGGCTAACAACTAAGGGAAAATCAGAACTTTGACAGACGGTAACGGGCAGCATTTGCAATGGATTAGTGCAAAGTCAAAAATCGTTTAAAATTAATATAAAAAAATGACGAGAGGAATATGATGTGACATTTATCTGATTTATTTTCTGCACGGAGACGCTAATAAATGTGCTATACTGCACATATGTTTCCCCATAAACTTCATTTTTGTCATAAGTTAAAAGCTGTGATACTGGCAGTACTGAAAACGCGACAGATCGTTTGTCTGAAGGATAACCAGTTGCAAATACAAATAACCATTGTACAAACGTTTCGAACAAGGCTTCTTTGACGTACGCGTATAAATGGAGGGCGGGCTATCGACGCCGCTAGTTGTACTAGGATCACAAGAATGTTTTTATTAAATAATAGTGTTATTGGTTGTTGAAATTTCTCGGATGTTCAGACTTTGGAAACGTGACCAGTAATGGTCGTGGAAACTTGAAAGTATAACATCGGGGCTGACCGCGAAGTCTTTTTGCGAGGTCTTGATGTTTTAAATTAGTACTTTAAAGATTTGACAAAATCCAAGGAGTAAGATGAGGTTTGTTATTTTTAGGATCGACCTTTGTTAATCCTCCACTTTTTTGCGAAAAGTATAATTGATGTAGGTGCTAGTCTGGAAGAAACCATTTGCTACCGCCACAGCTCATTTAGAAGCACAACTTTGACATCGAGTATTAGGTTGTCACTTTTAGCTTTTTTGTTATCCAGCCAACCTTCCTAGCACGGTGGGACACAAGTGTTCTAGCCAATATACTCGAAAGTATCATTGTAATGTGAAAACTCAACCGTCACGCTAAGGTAGCAGCTACAGTTAGGTACGAATGATCTACGGGAAAATCATTAGTTAGTAAACAAATGTAAGAATTACGTCTCATACATAATTCGACAGGCATATATAACAATTGAATCAAACATTTGTATACCTTCCATATGGTTGCTGTGCTCCATCGTATGAAGGCTGAGGGCTCGGAATCAATCTTTGACGTTCATCCTCCTCGTCCTAAATTTGCATCAACAAAATCAACCGAATAAATAAAGTGTGGATATAATAAATAAAGACTGCATAAAAGATGAAAATTATAAGTGCAGTGATGCTTAAGAGTTACCTTTTTACTTAGAAACACATTACGGATTTTAACGTAATTAACTAAGTAACCTCTGTACGTACCAATTTGTTTTTTCTACCTAAATAGTAAGTCATGGTCTCACATATACCATAATAATTACTTATTCAGGTTTTCTAGCCCAAAACCTGGTGTTAACACGAAGGAATGATGAAGTGGCTGTAACTTTAGTTGTAGATCAATAATATATGTTGTGTGGTTGAGTCAATTACAAAAAACAAATAACTATATACTTACACTGACTTGGATCATACGATTAATAATTGCTTGATGATTAACTGACACATTTTTACGGTTGTATTGGCAGCCATTGTCTGGAGTGGTAAAATCTATAACCTTTACCTGTATATCAACGGACAAGGGTCCAGCCGTTGCTCAATTACTCAGAGGGAAATCTCGTGCTGAGCAGAATATCAGTAAAACAAAAGACTTCAAGGAAGCCAAAAGAAAATAAGTACTAATTCTACCTAGATAGCTTGTGTTTCTTAGGTATCATCTCTAAGTCGACCGTTAATATGAATTGATTTAACCTCACTTAGCGCAGTGAGTACCATTCCTGTATCCATCTATTTACTATTTAACAATCTTGAAATCTTTTCTTTGTTACCATATTCTTGATTTTAATTATCCTTTCTCTGTAGCTCCTTGCGACAATAGTTTTAAAAATATCCATGCAGACTTTGAAGTCACTCAACAACTATTTGTCGATGTTGGGTTAACGATAAACATGAAAGTTGGTTGTGCGACCGTCCATGTCTCGACACTTTCCATCATCACCAACGTCCAATTCTGGACAGTTCGTGGAATCTAGCGACTACTCTGTAGCTTACTACAAAAAAGGACCGGATATGATGGATAGTTAAGAACAAGTTACAAAAATCATGACCATTTATTCGGTAAAAGTCTACGAGCTAAGCCCCACATTTAACCTCACAGGTTAGATCACACGAGAATAATGACATTCATGACTCCTGATGATAATTTAACAAGAAAAATTAAGCAAAACATCAGTAGTTTAGAGTATATAAGATGTCATACGAACTCTTATTAGTGAAATAGGTGTGTGCCAGTCAACTACGAAGCGAAATTTCGTAATTTATGGTAGTAAGTTCATTCTAAATATTATGCTGTTACTCCTACGTTCAGAAGCTGAACAAACTTTTGCCGCCTGTTTTTCTACAATTTTACGTTATTTAGACATTGGAGTCAGAAAAAATGTATCAAGACCAAAGGTGAAAGTATGACATTTGAAAACATGAAGTATAGATCATGTACATACTAAATTATTTTACATCATGGCCAATTAAAAGACATAACACAACCAAGAAAGTTAATCGCTCTTGAAGAAATGACACAGTCGTTGTATCATCTTTTGATAGGTAGACTACCATTGCATCGCTGACAGTCAGGTGGTATCTTCACATAAAAAATGCATTACTAAAACTACATGGTGGTGCTTACTAAAGTTTGTTGAAATAGATGTGCTTAACATAACACCAACCAATACTGGGACTAGTCAGGTTTTCAACATTTAGCAATGGATTTAATAACAGTAAAGCCAAATATTCAACGGTCGCCATCCCGTTTCTGCCTCCAGAAAACTGTAATCACATTCGGTTAACAGGAGCTGATGATAACGCGCACACTTCCTACACAGAACCTCGTTTACTTGCAAAGAAATTAACTGATTAACAAAATTGATTGTACGTGTACTCGTTAATATGCCCCTTAAAGAACTAAACCTATTGATGGGATATGCTTCAATCTTTAGAATAGGAAACCGTCTTTTCGTCAATCAAATCTGACTGGTTTTCATTCTTGAGTGTCTTGCCTGACTAAAGCTCGTGAGAAGCATAGTCGAGAAAGTCAGGATGCTTTTACACCTGGATGTGGATGTATAGACCAGATATTCACTCTACGTCGGGTCCTCAAACATAGACAAACATTTCGGCGTTCCATGATAGTAGTATTACTGGACCTTCAGGCACTATTTGACTCTGTTTACCGTTAGGTTGTGGCAGTAAGTGTCATTGAAAGGTGTACCAAAGTAGTAAATTAACCTTACACAAGCTCTCTACTCGAACAGAACTGGTTGAGTGAGAGATTATGGCGAACTGTCATCGGAACTAATTACTCCAAATGGTGTTCTTCAATGTTGTCCACGTTCTCCATTGTTATCCAAATTTGTCATTGACATGCTATAAGAGATAACACTTCCCTCGTCTGATTTTTAAGGAATTGGACTCCTACCGGGCGATTCACTTGTCAACCTAGAATGTGCCGATGATATAAATCTGTTTGGTGGAGAAGCTGACAAAATGCAGTTTTAAGACCACCTTAAGCAACAACGTAAGAATGTTCGGGATGCGATTATCTCCCTCGAAGTACAAAATGTTGCTTTGGGATTGTCTCTCGTTGACGTCGAGTTATTGATAAGGAATGAAGTAGTTGAGCGGGTTGAACGATGCGAGTTCACGGAACGTTATTCCTGGTCTCCTGAAACATTGTTCTAAATTATATGTTGGAGCATTTAATAGCCGAATATTGTGTCTAATAGGGCTACAGGCTTCCTTAGCTAGGACTATAGGATCTCACACCATAGATATATGCTGCGTCTACGAAACACACACATAGGATCCTAGTAAAGTCACTAATTTGATCTCACCTTGTTAAAATAAAGAAGCAGCTTGATTTACTCTTCGTACATCTGGAAGCCCTGATGCTGCTTCCAGGGTTCTCGCTGGCGTAGGTATAGCATCGAGTCCTAGAGCAGAACTAACTCTCCTAGACTAGGTTCCAGTAGATAGTCACTTGTGCGCTGTCTGACTGAACGGGACAGTAAGGACTCGGAAAGACAGGGACACGCCGTTACTTCTTCGTTGTCTCCGCCTGCGCTCCCACTGACTGCAGCTCAGACGACGTGAGAGGTGAATTTCACAAAAAGCTTTCGGACCTCCTCCAAAAGGTTAGACGCTCTGATATAGTAATAGTGGCTGGTGCTCAAGTAGGTAGACTAAGTGAAAAGGAAAGACACCTGGGTGGATTTTATGGTGTCGCGGCTAATAGAACAGACAACGGCGACCGTCTGTTGCGATTGTGCTCAGATAACCGCCTATTTCTGGGAAACTAACTTTAAACATACGGAAAAGCATCTTTTGATCTGGCCACCCCCAAAGTCGTCTCAACGTTGGACTCGTCTAGATCACATCGCCATCAGCCACCGATGGAGAGGTTCGATAGACTGTCGCTCGTTCTGGGGCACATGTTTAGCTTAAGATCGTGCCCTAGTACGAGCGCGTATTTGTTTGCAATTTACTAGATGTAGGAAAGACACCGCAAGGAAACCTTCTAGGGTTCTACCTAACGACAGTAGAGCTATGAGTATATTTCAGGAGCAACTAGAGAGTTAGGCAACCAAGTAAGCGTTTCCCATCCGGAGGTAGCTTGGAATGATGTCCAAAAAGCTGTGGAAACAACAGTGATACATTCTAGTAAAGTAAACCATAATCCTAGGAAGAAGTTGAAACTGGTAGATTGACTCCTGAGATTTTTAAGGATGGTGGTCCAAATTTAGCCGTTAGATTGACTGAAATCTCAGGTAGAATTTGGGAACTAGGTGTAATGCTATTTGACTGGTCTCAATCACTGATTGTCCCAGTCGATAAGAAGGGACAAAAGTCCTCTTGTGACAATCACAGAGGAATAAGTCTAACTAATATAGTATCTAAAATATTGGCCTCAATAATACTCCGACGCTTAACGAAAGCTCGTGAAGAGCAAACTAGAGAAAACCAGGCTGGTTCCCGACCTGGACGTGGATGTATAGACCAGACATTCACATTACGTCAGGTCCTAGAACAAAGACACGTTCAGACGCCCCACAATTGTAGTATTTCTCGGAATTAATGCGGCATTCGAATCTGTGGATCGTGAGGCTTTGTGGCAGTGTCTGTCATTAAAAGGTGTATCAAAGAAGTACATTAACCTTATACAGGCTCTCTACTCAAACACCACTGGTCGATTAAGAGCTTATGGCGAACTGTCATCGGAATCCCTTACTTCAAGTGGTGTCTGTCAGGGCTGTACACTTTCTCCATTCTTGTCTTTGTCGTAGATATGCTTTTGGAGTTAAAACTATCATCATCTGACTCATCAGGAGACACAGCTGCTGACTTAGAATACGCTGATGACATAGCACTGTTGGGTGAAGACGCTGACAAAATGCAGTCTTCTAAATACCCTAAGCAACAACGCAAGCATGTTCGAGATGCGGTTTTCCCCCTCGAAATGAGAAATGGTGATTCATGATTGGGTTGCATCGACACCTGAACTAGTGATAAGGAGTGAGGCAGTTGGCTGTGTAGACCGCTTCACTTATCTGGGGAGTCTCATCAGTGCTGATGGCCTAGCGACTGACGAAATCTGAGCACGGATACAGACGACTCGATTGGCTTTTAATAACTTGCGTCACCTATGGCGCAGGCGAGATATCCGCTTGCTAACCAAAGGACGAGTGTACTAAGCAGCAGTTCTCTCCGTCCTACTATAAGGATGTAAAACATGGTCGGTGAGAGTAGAGGATATTCGTAGATTGCTTGTCTTTGATCACAGGTGTCTCCGAAGCATTGCTCGTAGATCCTGGGACAACCGAGTAAGCAATGCTGTTGTTAGGAAACGAGCTCTAGATAGGGATGGCAGATCAATAGATGAAGTATTGGAACTTCATCAATTGAGGTGGTTGGGACATGTGTTACGTATGCCTAACCACCGACTGACTCGACGAGCTATGTTTTGTGATATGGGATTAGGTTGGAAGAAAGCTAGAGGCCGCTAAACCAAAACAGCACAAATCCATGAAGCCGTTAACGACTGGACTGAGCCATGTTGGTAGACGTAGACTACCAGGTTATGGTCGATGAGACAGTGGTGACTGTTGCTTAGAGACTTCGAATGCCATGGCTCAAAATCGTTTGCATAGGCACAGATGCATCCATTTTAGCCTTCTCTCAAATTCCCAACTTCAAAATTCCTGATGACCTGTATCCTTCTCTTGTAAAAATTTACTACATTTGGATATACTGATCGAATCATACCTTTGGACCCTAACCTCCATCCCTCTTAATACTTCGACTACCTCCATTATTATGGGATTTGAATTGAAAATCTGATTTATCTGTTCTTATGTGGTATAGCAACCTGAACGGATGTATGTACCTACCAAGTTCTCGATTGTAGCTGACCGGCTGAGTGACAATCACAAGCACTTGTTACAGAGAACTGAAATATGATCTATGATTGTTGATTACCTAGAAAGATATGTGTTGCGCCGATTTTGGCGATGAAATATACAACCTTAACAGTATTTGACCAAGCCAGACAATTCGTAGATTAAAGAAAAAACTGGGTCTTTCTCAAATAATTTTAAAATTGTTCAGTACTTACTTCATTATTTCCCGAGCTTGCACAAAGACCGCAGCACCAATTTCCCATGCGTCTGAAACATTACACTACTATAGGGAACGTTACAAAAATAATGTAAAAGAACAACATTGTGTTAAAATGATTTTATTTCATTATCTGGGCAGGTACAACAACGGATAAGTTATCGAAATCACCAAATCCACTCAATGGCCATACCTAGAAGTAGATTACAAATATAACCAGGACTTACTTTTGTAGTTCCCATTCACGGTTATCCAGAGGGCAAACCTGTCTTGTTTTCAACCATCGAGATATACAATGAAAATGAAAGGCATGCTTATCAAACAAATAGATGTTATAATTTAACTTACATTACAAACACCCCAAGCAACGGTGCATTCTTCACTTGTAGCCGAGGCATGGTTAGCTTGGCATTCGATACCTATTACGGTTAAAATGAGTAACTAAATCAAACATAGGTCCATTATGTGATTTCTGCAGATAGCACAATTATCAACAACGATATCCCACGCCCATAAGGCAACAGCATACCACTTTTTTATTTCGAAACGTTTCTTATTTTCGCTGAGCGATGCCACTGGTCCAGTATCATCAACTTCCATTTCTGACATCGCGCTGTGAAAATTATTCGAACTTGCCGCTTCTGAAATATCCAATATCTTTTTCCCGAGCTGGTATAAACCAATTGATTTCTTTACACTCGATTTTTGTCCTTTTGGTACGGTTTCAGGTTTTTAGTAGTGTCCTATGGATGGGGGTCTGGACACCTGACTAAACAGATTCTATTCAGTTGGCAGTTGTTTGTATGTTCCGTTATTTGAATGAAGACGTTTGTTTCAGAGCAGTAGCGTTTCTGGATATTAGCAGCTATCACATTATCAGACCGGAGAACATTTAGTCGCTGTGTGGAGAATAATAAGGAGAAAATCCTAATCCTAATAGGATGACTACCGTTCGCGCTTCGAATTTGACGTGGCCTCGCTGACTTTCTTCCATTTACGGGGGAAAAAAAATCCATTTTCTTACTCTAGTTTGGGATATTTTATCACCCCCCCCCCGAGACTATAAAAATTCATCTCCATTCATTGGTCGACATTATGAGTACAATTTCGGGCAAACGGAATCATTTCAAGTCAGAACCATTGTGCAGTAGGTCTAGCTGCCTCGTTCAACTGCTCTTTTCCCAGTTGCTTCGGCCGCATACACACATTCACTCACTCACAAACACAGGACTTGTGGACAAGTTACTGGATATACGCAAAGTTACTTACTCATACGGTCAAAGTTTTAGTTGCAATTTTGGAGTACTTTCAGACTCTATTACTCGTAGTTATATTATATACTACTAAATTCTTCTTCCCTAAATACCTTTCTGTGTATACCATATCATAATTATCTCGGTTTTCACCTCCTAATCTCTGTGGTGTCATGTTAGGTAATAAGTTTGCCTGCACATCTTACACGATAACAACCAGGAAAACCTGCAGAGGTTTAAACCACGGGGTTAATAGTGGGTAAAAAATCCCAGTCTCATGCGTCCGGGTTGTTAAAAAACCCAAACCGTCAGTGGAAAGCATTCCTCTTGGTGTCCATACGTTGGATCACTCTCCTAAAACACCACTAAGTCCCAAACGGAGGAAGCAAGACATCACTCCTCCGAATCCTATTCCTAAAAAGACCAGTAGGCTAGTTAAGAATAGGAGAAAGAAGCGTTCTAAGGCTCAGTGGACACAGTCTGACGTCCAGACACCTCATAAAGATGGCTGTTTCGCCTGCTCATTATCAGTCAAAATCAATGACTCTGTTTTTGAATTCAATTTCTGTAGTACATGGGTACATTGTCACTGCGACACTAGAGTACCTAAAGCGTACTAAGGATTCATGCCGAGTCACCCCTGCCCATGGTTCTGGTATATCTGCTCACGGTGTAGAGTATCTGAGGCATTGGCGAAGCCTCAGGTTCCGCCTAAAATCAGCTCTAAAGTCCTAACGAACAAACCGAAATCGCCTGGCATTTAATTAGTAAAACAAGTGACCAAGGCTACCAAAACCCTGACTAACCATGACTAAAACTGCCGACTGTTTTTAATCCCCCAGTATCTTTTAGCAATGCAGAACAGTGGGTAAATGTGAACAAAGGGAATGACAACACCCCAATTCACCACTCAAGGACAGGGACGATAAAATAAATTCACTTATTTTATTTAAAGTCTCAGTATCGGAAAGCAGCTTGCTAAAAGGTAGGGCTGCCTTCGACAAAGAGCAGTGGGACAAATACTGCGCAACCCTTGGAATGTGCAACATCCCCGCCAAAATATGCCACCTTCTCAAAGCCCTAAATATCTCGAAAGGAAAACCCCCTCCGATGAGGGTAACTCTTGACTCGGCACGGCTTGTTGAAGAGGTCCTCCTCTCATCCCTAAGGTCATCGGTCAAGTTTTCCTCGCCGATTAACATCAGGCATGACAAGTCGTGGTCGAAACGAGCAGCAGCCAGGACTATCCAAGATACCCAAGAGCAGGCCACCATGGTAGTCCACGGTGTACCCAAACTGGCTGACGGAGCTGGACGAAGCTCACGTGCATGGTGTGCGACAGTGGCGATGGCTACTGCGAAGCCTAGCCCTTCACACCACGATGGCTGTTTGTGTTTCTAGGTTGCCCCGCCCGTCACATTTTATGTCCATCAAGTCACCACGTCTGATGGCTGTGACATTTAGGAACCGGGAAGACCTGACTGAAGCACTCCAAACTTGGTACACTTCGAGGAACGATATCTCTAACCGCATTAGGTGTTACGAAAGCCGATCTAGATCTGTGAGACAACAGCAGGGGGGCCACAATGAAGGCACAAAAATGACAGTTAACCTCGGTCAGTAACCTCTGGCACAAGACACGATCGGACTCACTGCACAGGCAAAAAGCCTGCAGAGGCAAGTTCCCACAATACTAGCCAATTCGGTTTGAACAAATTCTTTGAAAATCCGACAACGGCTAGTGCCGCAGAATTGCATCAGGTGCTGATACAAACCACCAAGTGACTCTATAGCAACGTGAGAGGACTGAAGCGTAAGCTGTTAGAAATCAGGAATACATACTCTCAGATGTTTCTGAAGTTCATAATCGTAACTGAAACATGGCTATCCCCTGACATTGCAGACAACGAAGTGCGCTTGCCAGGCATGACACTCTTCCGAAGCGGTAGGGTACACCGAACAACCACTTAAAAGCCGAGCGGCTATTCGACGCCCAACTAATTGAGGTGACAGAATCATGTTCATCTTGTTTCCACAAAAATGGCACGAAATACTTCATTGGAGGGATTTATTGGCCGCCCTCGAATGCTAAGGCCCAGAAAAACAAACTGAGGTACTACTGCAACTGTCAGTCCTGGGGTTTGGTCAAATGCTCTTAGCTGGAGATTTCAATACCCCATCTTTAAATCTCAGTACAACTCCCACTGGTTGGTTCCAGAGACGACTTGGGGCAGCCATAAGAAGCTCTGGGCTGACTGAGAACGTATGCAGTCCCCCTAGATGGACTAAAGAAGGAAATTCCTCAAACCTGGATTATCTGTCAACAAATGACTAGCTCCTGGTTGAAGATGTTCACGTGGATACACCAGTAGCTAGTAGTGATCATGGCACAGTCTTGTTTAACATGGTCATAAACGAAACACTCATGAAGGACGAAAACGAGCCCTATCTTTGCTACACTAGGGCAAACTATACACGTATGAGAGAGGTGCTCCTACATACCCCATGGCCACGGGAAAGGTGGGGGCTGACTTTAAAAAGTCACTGACAAACAGTGAGAGATATCATCCAAAACACTGTCATACCTCAGTCACACCACACACCTCGGAATAGAATAACTTGGGTTAGGCGCGGCACTGAACACTTGCTACACGCGAAGAGGAGAGCCTGGCACAAGTGGAAGGTCACCCTGAAGGATTCCGACTGCAGTTCTTATTTGACGTTGAGAAACAGATGCAATACCAAAGTTCGAAGTGATAGGAGACAACTTCAGATGAAGCTAGCTGCCAAAATACAAGAAAGCCTGAAGCATCTGTTTAGGTTCATGTCCAAAAGAAGACCTACTAATCAAGGGTTGTGTTCTCTCAAAGGACCGAACGGGGAAGAGCTCACCAACCTCAAGATAGCCGAGATCTTCAACAATAACTTCACTGAGCAGTTAAACTAGGCATCCAAATGTTCAAAGCACTAAGCAAACCCAATGCCACTCGATTGTCTAATTCTTGTCAGTTGGCAGTTGGTTGTGAGTTTGTATGTCTCGGGATTTGAATGAAAACGTTTGATTCAGGGCAGGAGGGTTTCTGGATACCAGCAGCTATCTTACTAGACCAGAGATCAGTTAGTTGTAATATGGAGAATAATAAGTATAATAAGGATAAGATTCTAATGCTAATATGAATAAAATTTCAGAACTGAGTAAATAGATGAAATTAGCTTATTAATTATTAGTGAAGATTGTGAGAGAGGAACGTAGTATAAGCAAGCGGAAGGGAACAGAGATGAGTGGCGAGATAGATTAAGTAAGTGATCTGAGGAGATGGCAATGATAACAATTAGCGGGTCTCAAGATATGCATCATGAACAGCTTGTCCAAGAGAGAGATGATAATCTGTATGTGAGTACGTGATTATTAAGTCTCTTCTTAAAGCCGTCCACTGAGGGGGCTATGGTCACCTCAGCTGAGAGAGCATTCCAAGTTGCGACGCCCCGCAATGAGAAAAAGTGTGCGCGAACCTGAATATTCACTCTTTGATGCTCAATTTTTCGAGGATTGCCTCGAGGGGAGTGGTGGTGATGCATCGGTAAGATGCTAATGTTCGGATGGTTTGGAGTGCCTAATATGTTGTACGCCAACTTTTCATCTTTCAGCCATATCACTCACTTCGCTAATCGTCTCTGCACTCGACCCAAGAGATTTACGTCTCTTTTAGGGAGAGGAGGTGCGACGACTTTGAGAACCTCAAGGTGTCGGCCTGCATATGTCTTAAACAACGTTAAGAATAATTGTGGGGTGATAGCACTAAGTCGTCTTCGCATAAAGTGAAGAACTGCATTTGTCTTGTCTGCATCCCTTATATAGTTTCGACTGGTGTGTAGGCTTCCAGCGGTCATTCTCCGATTTCCCTTGGAATCATCAGCGAAAAATAATATTTTGTCTGGTAATTTTTAGTTATCCTGCCATATAAATTGAGCTGTAAAGGTTATGATCATGATATGGTCTGTGAAACACGAGCAGTGTAACTGGACTTTTGGTGGTAATGTTCATAAATTCTATTGCAAAAGTAGCTGCTCTGTCCTCCTCACTTTCCTTAGAATTAAACGAGGAAGTCCCACCGTCTTCCGACCGTTTCCCTTTTTCTTTTTATCTTACTATCTGTATAGTGGGGATATTGCTGGGAATACTCAGGCGCAGCTCGGACATATTGAGTTAAGCGTTGTCTTTTGAGCCTGCTGATTATGTTCTTATTAGGTCACTCACTAGAACAGCAGTATTGGATGTCCTAACTTTTTGTAGACGGGTTTCACGACTGAACTTGCTTAGATAATGTACAGTTGTGTAAATCTGAATATCAACCAACTCTTCAATTATGAGTTAGTCTTGGATTTCCGTTCACATTCC